TTTACAAAAAAGTATATTTTTTCTGAATTTTAACAACAAAAATGGACATAGCTAAGTATTTCAAGGCAAATGAGTGTAATTTTAGTCATTTTTGAGAAACTTTTATTTTCGGAGATTTGTTCAGGATTTTATTGCTATAGTTTTTGAATTCTAACAACAAAGTAGCTATTGAATGCAACTTTTGATCAATAGATGATTTACCTTGTTTTTTTCAGGATTTTAAGTTAAAAAAAGGACATAGCTACACACTCTGAGGCAGAATAGTGCATTTTTATTCATTCTTCAAAAATGTTTATCTTTTTGGAATTTGTAAGTATAGTATTCAACTTTTGATTAACGGGTGATGCACCAAACATTTTAAGGATTTTAAGGATAACGTTTTTATTTTTCTTCAGAAGAATAGTAGTATAGAAAGTTAGTTTTGATCAACGATTAACAAAAAGGGTTTCCTCAATAAAACATTGACATCCTAAAATGTTCATCCTTAAAAATGTAATTGAATGCAGTTGAATAATACAGTAAATGTATGTTTTTACTTACCTCAAACAGCGAATGGTCCTTGTGCAAGTGAACGATCTGCGAAGTAAAATTGAACGGGATCTCAGACTTCTGCTGCTCTTCCCTGGCTGCTGCCGGTTGGTTCTGACCAGCTCTCATGATCATATAGTTCCAGCTTCTTTTTTGATTCCTGTTTTAAAGAGTTTTAAAGATAAATGCATAGTGTTCAAGGAGCGACGCATGATGATGACGTCATCTTGAGCGACTCTGCAAAGAAAGAAACGCCTACAACCTGACGCAACATCCTTCGTGTTCTGTTCATGTTTTGTTTTTACTGTATATATGTGTTACTATATATATGTGTGTCTGTGTGTGTGTATGCATGTATGTGTGTGTGTGAATGTTTTTAAATGAAATGATTTAAAAACATTGTGAGCAGTTGAGGTCTGTATAAAAGAGTTTGGATTTAAGCTTATTCCGTTTTCTACTATGTTCATATAATTCTCTTAATTGTGAAGACTAGTGTATTTATCTGCCTTTGATTGAGATGCAGATGAAAGGCACCAGCTTAATTACTCATGTTCATGCCATTTCTCCTTTGGGAATTGCTCTGCTGTCCTGTTCTGCTGACTACCCTAATAATTCACGGTGAATGATTTTACTGTTACCACACACAACCAGAACACATCCTTAAATAAGTTTTTTTCTTTGTAATTTGTTTGATCGTTATTTAATTTTGTTATTACGACAAAAAAACAAACAAACAACAACCTGGAAAAAACTCAACTTTTTTAAAATTTCAATTTCTATTGTTTTATGCTAAGACCCCATTGAACGCCCAACGTTTGTTGGTAGGTAATTTATTAAGTATCCACTGGTAAAATCATTTAAAATTATAAAATATAAAGCTACACGAGATTACACCACCAAGGCAGTAGATGGCGACAAAGATCAACTATACTTTGCCGCGTTTTTGAGGCATTTTTATTGCGAGCAAATCACATTAAAACGATTTCTATTTTGAATGCTACGTATATTTAGAATAAAACGTCAATATTGAAAAAGAAAGCAGTATAAACAACAACAAAAACAATTAAAAACGCTACCGTACTTGACGTTGTAATTTTCTATTTTATTTTTTTCCATTATTTATATAGTGTTAATATTACCCTGTTGTTAAACGTTTGGCTTTTTTTAAACTATTTCTTAGTGCAAGATTACTTCATTACCAGGAAGTAAGGCCTCCTACAAAGTCCATGTCGGGTTTGAAAGAGCAACGATAAAGTTTTGTGAGTGACTCACGGGATTTGTCAGCCCAGTCAGGATGTGACTGTAGCAGAGAGAGGGGAAGAGAGAGTGAGAGAGAGACACAGAGAGTCTGGGAGAAAGTTGCTGAGTTTACTGTAGACTAGCAGCACACAATCACAGTTCGTCCAACAGAGCAACATGATATGCACTGGATATTATACAGGGATTATCCTCCTTTTAATGGGTACAGTTGTTTTAATTCCTTTCTTCTTTCATTCTGTCATTTTCTTCTTTCATTCTGTCATTTTGTTCTATCATTCTTTTTTGTTTTAATCAATTATCTTTTGTTTTTTAATCTATTTTGCATCCCCTCATAAGTTTATTTGTACTATCTCTTTAACTCTTTTATTATTATTATTATTTAGTATCTCTTATTTTACAGGTATGGTCAATGTACTGACTCTACCAACTCTACCTCATGTTATAAAGTACCAAACAGTGCTACCTCGCAGGCTGAATGGGTCGTCTTTCATCAGTGATTCTGCCACTACTCACCAGGTAAAACACCATACAGCCCAAACATAAAATATCCCATATATTGTCAAAAAGAATGAAAAAATAAATAAAATAGAATTGACCAATAATTGCAGCACCAGTACAGATTATGTCAAATTTTACATTTAATCTCACCACAATTCATATTTGAATCTTAAATTCTCTGCTAGAATAACTGTTAAATTAGGACCAGATTTCCCAACATATTATAAGTAAAAATCCTATTCATAAAAATGTTTCTTCTTCTTTGTTGTTGTGTGTAGAAATACCCCGATGTTCTCCAGTACTCTGTGAGTATTGAGGGAGAAAACTACACTCTCCATCTGGAGAGGAATATGTAAGATCCTTGCACAAAGCTCCAGTTTTTGACCTATTTTATTCACTTTGGTCATCTTTGTTGACTTTTCTTCAAACTATCCTTTACAGTGACCTGATTGGTGAAAACTTTTCTGTGACACATTATTCTGATCAGGGTGCCCAAATCACAACTCCTCTAGATCTCAGCGTACGTGTGGTACTACATCCTTTTTACAAACGTTAATATTATTATGTTTTTATAATTTTGAAATGTAATCTATTTATATTTGAAATCATTGGCAAAACTGTCTGCAGAATTGATTTTATTTTATTGTGATTTTATTGTTATTTTAACAATGGAATTTCTATGAACCGATATTGTGATTAATTTTAACAATAGAATTTCTATGAACCGATATTGTGATTACAAATCAGTGTAATTTAACGCTGACTTAAAAAAATAATCTTATTCTTAATTTTTATTATTAATTTTATTTGCTGGGGCTCTGCAATAATTCTGAACTCCCAAAGGGGGCATTTCCCCCACTTTGGGTACCCTAGGTTAGGCTCTACTGAACATGGCAATCATATGGTAAAATAGTGTTTGTATTTTGCTCTGTTATTTTACATGGGGTCCCTTTTAAATACCAACAATCTGTGTTCAGGATCATTGTTACTACCATGGGCACGTTGTGGAGGTCGACGACTCATCGGTCAGTGTGTCACTGTGCTCTGAAGTGAAGTGAGTAAAGTTAAAGAATATGTATGTGTGGTTACTAAAGCCAGTTGTTTGTTTTTTGATCTGTTGGACTGCTACATAAATCAATCAGGGTTATTTGTTTTCCTTTGTCCACTTCAGGGGATTTGTGCGTCTCTTGGACCAAATGTACCTTATCGAACCTTTGCCCGATCCTGAGACTGGACAACAGTCGGATAGTCAGAGCTCCAGTAACAAGAGAGAACAGACTCTTCATGCTTTTTACAACTACAGACACCTGAGGATGAAGAGGAGCACGTGTTCACAGGGAAACACTACTGAAATGTTCTATGATTTTGGAGCTCTACCGTCTGGACTTCACAAACTCACCAATCTGGTAAAACGCCGGGCAACGTTTTATTAAGGTTGTTGTCACTGAAAGAACATGATGTCAATTTAGTGAAAAGAATCGATGCAATAGACACATTTTCAAATTTCTTTGCTAATTTGTATTTCCCTATTTCTTGGTGTGTTTTTTTTTTTTGTATTATACAAAATGTGTGTTTGTGTGTGGTGTATTCAGGAAGCCAGAACTCAAACTTCAAACAAACCTATGGTAGTAGAGCTGGTCCTGGTGGCTGACTTCAGAGAGGTTTGTCTTTTTACTAACGATGCAAATGCAGGCCACGTTTAATATTCTAGAGGTGTGCATTTTAATTTAGTTGTTTCTCAAGATTTGAATTTGTTATTTGAAAAATGTTTATATTTTTAGTACACCATTTTTGGAAGTGTGAGGAGAGTTCAGCGCAGACTGATGGAAGTAGCGAACCATGTAGATAAGGTATGTGTTTTGGTTCTCTGGTATGTTCTTGATTCCAGCAGAACAAATTAATCCTATAAAAATATATATTTCTTTACATTTACTTTAAATTGGCCATAAAAACCTAAAATAATAGATTACAAAAACATGTGTCCAGTATATATATATATATATTATATTATACTAATTGATTTGTAAATTCCACTTTAATTGTAAAAATGACTTCTCTGGCTTTCGCAGTTGTATCGCCCGTTGGGTATCCGTGTGATGCTGGTGGGTGTAGAAATTTGGTCAATCAGAGATCAGATCACAGTCAGTCCAGATGCTGAGAGCACCCTGCACCGCTTCCTGGAGTGGCGTCAGAGAAGTCTTTTGCCCCGGATCAAGCACGACAACATCCAGCTGGTCACGTAAGAGACACCTTCAGCTTCAGTCATTAACTGTCGAGAGAGTCGTTAGTTACCAGACCCTAAATGTAGCCCTTCTTTGTTCAGAGGTGTGAAATTCAATGGTCCAGTTGTTGGCTTGGCAAACACTAAGTCAATGTGTACCTATTATTCTGGAGGGGTCAACTATGTGAGTCCTGGTAAAATCTATAAAAAATACAAGTAATATTTTAAAGTTTTAAGTTTCGGTCCCCTGTAAAAAAAAATCTCATGTTCTTTACTGTATGTGGTTTGTTTGTTTCGTTCCTTCACCTACACACAGGACAGCAGTGTTAATCCCATTGCAGTGGCCTCTACTGTTGCCCATGAGATGGGTCACAATCTGGGGATGGAACACGATACCATGAGCTGTGTCTGTGGCTCCTCGGTGTCAGACACGGACTGCGTCATGGCACGTAGTATTGGGTGAGTACTCTCTCTCTCTCTCTCTCTCTCTCTCTGTTTAACAACACGTATTTCTTCTATTCTTAACCTGAAAACTCATTCCATTCCCAGATCGGTGTACCCTCATCTGTTCAGCAGCTGCAGTCGGGAGCAGCTCACCAGGTTCCTGGCGACCATTAACGTTCACTGCCTGCGGAACACACCCTCCACCAATCGCATCTTTGGTGGCCCAGTGTGTGGAAACAACTTCCTGGAGATCGGAGAGGACTGTGACTGTGGTACTGAATGGGTCTGTGCATGTTGATGTTTTACTCAGTCATATTTGAAGTATCCGAAAAACCATCTTATGATTGTTAACACTTTAAGCACTAATTTATACACCAATTTATATTTGGTAAATCACAAGAGCATTAAACTCAGGGTAAGACCAAACAAGTGTGCACAGAGACTAACCTATAAAATTCTGCTTTGGTTTTTTGTCTGCCTTGTAGGAATGCCAGGACCCCTGCTGCGACACGTCCACCTGCAAACTGAAAGCTGGTGCGGAGTGTGCGGAGGGAGAGTGCTGCCACAGGTGTCAGGTGGGTTGAACTCACTCTGGTTTTTAACACTTCATGCAGTCAAACACTTTTCACCCTTGACTGTGATATTCTCTGTGCTCTGCAGCTAAAATCAGCCGGCACGCTCTGCCGACAAAAGACAGGAGACTGTGACCTGGCGGAACATTGCACTGGTTTGTCTGGCTTCTGTCCAGCTGATGACTACGCCCAGAATGGGCTCCCCTGTAACGGTGGGAGGGGATACTGCCACAACGGACGATGCCCTTCACTTGGGGAACAATGCAAACGGCTCTGGGGACCAGGTAAACTAGTACCATAACACTCAGACTGGTTGGATTTTATAATACTACTTAATTGGTGTTTTTTTGTTGTTGTTTTACTCAGACGCTGAAGTAGCAGCAGGTGTTTGTTTCTCTTTTCTCTGTGGGCAGAGTTGTCACCTCAGGTACGTTGCCAAAAGACAAAGCCGTTTCTCACAGCAGACACTACAGTGTTGTTTGATTCTGAGAATTTTCCAGGGATGTTCTCTGTGGTAAACTCTACTGCTCTGGAGGTTGGGACAGCAACACTGCAATACTCCGAAAAGTCACCTACAGGATAGGAAGAAAAGAATGTCACGAAGCACGTTTAAATCCTGATGATAACTACCCAGAGGACATGATCTGGGCTCCTACAGGCACCAAATGTGGCAACAGCATGGTAGATAAACATCATCCCAGTTCTTGGCCAATCAGAAACCAGCTCTGTGGCCGTTGTCATTTTCCTCACGGTTGTCTGTTTTGCCTTAGGTTTGTTACAACAGACGATGTCAAGACCTCAGAAATCTGGTGTGGTACGGAACCACAAACTGCTCCAACAAATGCAACAATCATGGGGTAAAACCTGAAATATCTCACAGTAACAGAGCACTGTCCACCCAACACCATCAGACTGACTGTGTTTGACGTCTTACAGGTGTGTAACCACAGGAATGAGTGTCACTGTGACCCCGGCTGGGCCCCACCCTACTGTGATACGCAGTACTCAAACTTGCCTAAAGGTACAGTTGAGTTTATTGTCTACCTTTTTGGCCTATTTTTATTAATTAATATATATATATGTGTGTATATATATATATGTGTGTGTGTATATATATGTGTATTTATATATTTATGCTTTGAGCTAAGTTTTGGCATTTTTTAATCCAGTCGTATTCTATGTTATATGTTGTGTGTGTGTATAGACAGCACAGTGGCTATCATAGTTTTCGCAGTGATCGGCTCCATTTTGGTGTTGGTTCTGATTGGTCTGAGTATGATGCAGTGCAAGGGAACAAGGACACCTGGAAAAAGGTTATTAAAAAGTATTAAAAGATATATTTCATATCAGTCTCCATACAGGAAACACAGCAAAAATACTTTTTGTTTTATATTTTATAAATATTTAACTGAAGCTTTTTTCGTTGTAGATGGTTCGAGGTTAACTCTGGTCAGTCAGATCCAAGATTCCGCCCAAGCAGCAGACGAGGAAGATTTGGGAACAAAACCATCAGCCTTCCTACATTTGTAACATCGTCAAGCACTCAGGCCTGTAACCCTTTGTCTAGAGCTACAGCTGGACCACACACTGGTGCACTGAGGCCTAACAGAGCCCCTCCACTGGTGAGAACCCCCATCTGAGCTGGTAGCTGTTAATGCTGCTGTAGTTACAGTATGAACTGTGTGTGGTAATTAGATAGACATTCATAAAAAAATGTTACATTGTAAAATTAGCAACTTTTAGATGTCATAATTATATTTATCTTTGTCATTTCTTACAGCCACCTCAGGCAGTTCCACCTGTAAGTCAGCCATCAGAAATCCAACAGGTCGGTGTTTGAGCTCCTGGAAATAACATTACATTTTTTATTGTATTTATCTGGCAGAGTTTAAGGCAGTAGGACTTTCAGCAGAGTGAGCAGAAGTGACATCATTGGAAAAAGAGTTGAGGTTGAAGAGTTTGAGACAAAGTTAGAGGAAAGAATAGACGACAGTAGAGAAGAGGAAGACCTGAAAAGATGACGTGAGAAAGGACATGAAGATAGTTGATAGATAGAGAAGACAAGGAAGGAGGAAGAGGAGGAGGAACAGGGTGAGCACTGATTAGTTACACAGTATTTTGCTGAGTAAGATGTCAATCAGATTACACTGAGGTGAAACTACAGACGTGTTTATTTTCTGTTTAAATACATGAATTCCATGGGTTTCAATCATGGATAACAATTCACTTTGACTTCTTCTCCAAGGCTAAACCTCCACCTCCATCCAGACCTCTGCCTCTGCTTCAAACAAAACCGGTAATCTTAAGTAACTTTCTAAAGTAACAAGTCACATTTTTTTTTGCTACATTAACATCTGTCTCCACAAAGATGAAGCCAAAGCCTCCAGTGCTTCCAGTGAAACCGAAGCCGTCTGTGATCCACTCTCCACTCGCAAACTCTGAGCTGGTATGTGTTCAGACTTTCCTAAGCTCCCTTATTCAAGGTATTTAAAAATATATATTCATGGTTTTGGGTCCAACACAGCAGTGGTTCACTGAGTCACCAATGACATGAAACTGCTGTAGCCACAAGGAAATATTGAGGAATCTGATCATCTGGAATGTGGATCAGTCTGTCCAGGCATTCACCAGGACTTTTCCAAGACTTTTCCAGGACATTTTATGCTGTCATGGAATGACTGACAAGTTGTCACATCTTGCTTAAGATTTAAACCTGTTAATCTCTGAAACCAAATCTGGATCACGCCCATGCTGCCTGGTGATAGACTGGCAGACTAAAAAATTCTCTGAAAGCGAATCCAACCAGAGAATGCTAAATCTGAAAAAAATGATGTGACTACATGACTACCAGAGACTTGTGTTTCAACAGAGGAATAAAATGTTGGCATCAATGATGGTGCTGATGAGTGAAGGGCTTCAGTGTTGCCCACTGAAGACAGTAGCAGAAGCAGCGGGAAATTTACTTTTCCAGGATAACTGTAGTTTCTTCAGAACATTTGATTTTTTTTTTCTTTTTTTATGGCTTGAAAATTGTTGTGCATTTACCAGGTTTTTCCAGGACTTGAGAGAAGCCTGTCTGGTAATCATGTATTTCTTTTTCTACCAGCTGACAAAGAGAGCTGCACTGATGTCCATCAACAGGCCCAGATGATAAGTGTTCAGAAGGTGCTTTGTAGTACCAACACCTGCCTGCAGTGTCTTCAGCCTCTAGTGTGTTGAGGAAAAACTGAAGCCTCAAACAAGGTGTACGACAAATGGCACCCGTGCCATGATTTTTAAACATGTTTTTGTTTGACTTTTTTTAAGGCAAGCCAAAAACTTTTCTGTGCTTTAAAAGGAGATTTATTTTGACAGAAATTGGATCTCAACAGCAAACTGTGTGTTATGATTCAAAATCATGTAGGTTTTTATGGCCTTAAGAACGGTCTGATAACTTCTGAAATGAAAGGACTGTTGAACTTTAGAAGCAAGAGCTTCACCAACAGTAGAAACAGAAAAGTGATTTGATGGAGTGTTTACTGTTATGGTAGGTGAAGGTCACTGTAGTTCTCTTGTGCATCGCATCACATCTGTCACACTTTGCCTTTAACATAACAACCTTATAACCATTGTTCATGAAATTGAATTGAATCTAAGGATCTAGTCCCTTACAGAGTTCTGGTACTAAACAGTCTGATAAGGAATGTCACATGGCAGAAAGATGAGCACTTTACATTTTATTTTATTTTGTAATCTTAAATGAATCTTAATTTTGAACTAATCACTATAAGTCTGGTTTTGTTTTGTACTAAATTATTGAACACATCTGTTTTGTTTCATGTGTCTTGACTGGATACATCTTGGTTTTATGTTTATCGAGGACTTTGATACGACATTCTCTCTGCAGCAGCAGAGTTTGCACGTGATGTCAATGACTGATCATTTGAGTCATCTTATTTATTTAGATCTTTGAATGTCTCTAAAGGTGATTTGATAATAAAGCAAAGAATGTACTTGTAAATCCAACAATAAAGAGTTTGGTTTTGGTGATCTTGTTTATGTTTTGTTGGTGTTTACATTCTCTGAGGTTCGATAAGCCTTTTGTGGTAAACCTTTTGAGTTGATATACACATGTATACGCACAGTATGTCTTGCTGTAGTACAACTTATGTCTCGTCACTGACCGACATGATGTAATGGAACATTTGTACAACTTTTTTAATATAAATGTAATTTAAGTTATGTTGAACCTGTGACCTAAAAGGCCTTATTAGTTCTGAGGACAAGATATAAAAGCCAGGAAGGTATCCTCCAGGGCTGCTTGGCGCAATATAAACATGGAGGGCGGGGGTTATGACCTTTAGCACACAATCAATATGGAGATCAATTAAAAAAAGACACATTATAAAACCCCACAAGGAAAAACTCTGTGGACTGAGAGAGTGAAAGGCTGGAATACAGTAACCACTGTACTGTACAACTCACAGATATTTAATGTCATTTACAATTACAAACAGTGACGAGTCTTAAATAACAGATCAAATGTTTTCAACAAATCCACTTGCTGTTCACCAGACATCATTTATAAAACTATTTCCTGAATCATGGACCATAGAAACCCAGAGCTGTAACCACACGCCTACTCTGAACCCATCTGTCTTTCCGACTGCACACCTCACCAATTGCTCACAGCCGAGTTCTTTAATAATTAGTTGAGGTTTTACAAAAAAATAATTTATTTATTAATTCAAAAAGCAGCAAAGGGGGATCTCTTTTATTTAGTCACTGAACATCAAATGCTTGTCCGGCAGCTTTTGTGGAATATAACCAGCCACGTATGTGTCCACCGATGAAAGTTGACTATAGACTTAAATGTGATGAATTGACCATTTAAAAAAATGCAGAGTACATCAAAACTGCTCAGGGTCTCTTAATTCAAATCTCAATCCACAGAAATGATCAATTAGATTGATGTTTATATTCACTGTCACTGTGGAGAAACTGTATTTTCTCATTCGAGTGGTTTAAAATAATTACAGAAGAAGACAAATCTGGCAGGACTTTTGAGAAAATCAGTGTGGACATTTCTCCTTCTCCTTTTCTAAATTTCATTATTTTCTCTGAGGTAGTTGCCACTGATATTGAGCAGTTTGTCTCGATCCCCTGTGTTTTCTTTTTTTTTTTTTCATTATCCTTTTTCATCTGAAATCATTTGGTTTGCCTTGAATATTCCATCTGGTTGGTTGTCATTGCCATTGTTCTGCATCAATTTTCTACTTGTACAAGTCCTTTGCCAGATGTTTTTTGGGCACAAGTTTGTTTTAAAGAAAAGTTTTTTCATGCATGTGTTTTTTAACAACCAGCCACGAGATCACCGTTTCTCATAAAGCTCCTCACATAATGACCTTAGTTATTAGTTGCATCAGTGATGCTCGAGGCATCCTGTGTTCCAATTGGATGATTGCTCTTGTGAAATTATAAATGTGGATGGGACATGAAGGTGTATTTCTGCTGCTGCACATTTCAGAGCTTCTGTATCTTCTCCCCAGCGACCTTTGGGTTTTCCCTCCTGAGTCTCTCTGCACCCTCAGCTCTGTAGTCGAAGGTACAGTTGTGTGTGTCCGAGTATCGGTGTAAGCTGCAGAAGACGTTTCCACACCTGCAGTCGAAGCCCGTCAGGCCCACCTTTTTGCGGCAGGTAAAGCAGCGAGCCTTCTCAGCTTTGGGCTTCTTCGTCGCTGTGGCCACATTCGCTGTCGTCCCACTTTCTGATGTCGCAACGGCCGAGGCGCTAGCTCCCGCCATGTCCGCTGCAGCTGTCGACGGCCCACTGCAGTGACCAGAGTCTGCGTGGACAGAGGACATAGCCAACGAAGTGCCGGCAGAAGTGTCCAAGCTCTGTGTCGGAGGAGTCTCTCCTGTGCTACTGAAAGCTGACGATGCCATTGGTGGGTTTGGAGCAGGGCCACTGCCATTCTGTCTCTGGACAAAGTTTTTATAGCACACGGAGCACATGCCATTATTCCTGCGGTTGCCATAGAATCCACAGCCCATGGAGCAGAGCAAAGGAGTCTGCCTCTGGTTGGACTCTCGGGTCATGTCCTGCTCCTCAGCCATGACGCCTCGTCTCTTCACAAAAGCTTGGTGTCTCAGTGTTAGCAGGTTGCTATCAGACCACCAGGCGGTGAGTGAGAAAGTACTGGTGTTTGATGGCAGTTGACATCTGCAATGTTGCATCACTGCCTTCATCCGAACTTAATCATTCATCATTTCCGATGTCTCCTTCTCGGCCCTCGTTTCTTCAGTCGGTCTCCTTACAGCTTTTGATGGTGGCATCTGCATAGCATTTGAATTCTCAGACATAAAACCAACCCCCCCCTCCCCATTTTAGAAGTGACATGGCAGAAAGAGATGTGAAGCTGATGTCATTCTTTTATCTTTTGTAACATGACTTTGATGTTTTTTATCCAACTCAAGGACCTTAAGTCTTAGTCTTGAGTCATTCATTGTCACATCAGCTGGTCCACAACTAGATGTCATCAATAATGTAATCTTGGCCTTGTTGCTATTTTCACAGAAATGGCCTCAAACATATTTGAGTTTGAGACCTCTGGTATAGAAACAATCTTTCACCCGTATACCTACGGTCCATAACTCTTTACTACTCTAAGAAAATCCATTCAAAAACAGAGAAAATCTACCATTTTTATACAGAAAGTCTAACATCAGTCAACACAGAGACTGAACCAGTGATGTCCTTGATGTAAGACAAAAGTACTGACTGCTGACTACTACTGGTATTAGTGGTACCAGAGAATTTGAGAGTGGAACAGTGGAAGAGGAGACCACATCATTTGACCTACGGGTTGGAAATGTTTTCCGAGTGGCAGCTGATTTTCTGCAAATGGTCTAACAAAGAATTCCCATCACTCATTGTCCACGTGTGAGTGTCTTCAATGATTCAGCCATCAGAAATTTCATTTCATTATTCAGAAACTTGCATGTGCTAAACACTGCTATCTGCTAACGTGCAATTATAAATAAGGGAGTTCTTACAAAGCAAATAATCAAAAAAAATTAATCAAATTCCATCCATGTGAATTATATAAACACGCAGCCTCGTCTTTTATACTTGAGCCAGAGAGTTGTTAGAAACGCCCTTGGCTGCTATGGGAACCGAACGGTCGCCTGAGCGACGCTTTAGACAACACACAGAGACGTAAAAGTGGGACCTCGGCGGTTATAGTTCGCAGCGACGACACAAATCTGTGTTTAATTGCAGGTGTATTTTTTTTCTCCAGATACAAAAAAAAAAAATCTCCATATGAGCTAGACATGAAAGGAAAGCGTCACTTTAATGTCGTCTGCGCTTGAAGTGATGGAGTTCACGTCAGGCCTCGGTCTCTGATCTCTAACCCCGTCAGCTCTGAGCACAATGAGCCGAGAACTGAGTGACGGGGAGCTGCGGGATCTGTACTCCTGGGTGGACAAGATCCCTCTGTCCCGACCAAAGAGACACATCACCAGAGACTTCAGCGACGGAGGTAAGGGGACTCACGGAAATTTTTACGTCTCTCTGTGTCAGTTTGCCTGTACAGTCTTTGTGCATATGAGCTGACGTCACCTCTGCTCTTTAAACCTCTGCAGTCATGGCTGCTGAGGTTGTCAAACATTTCTTCCCAAAGCTCGTAGACCTGCACAACTACGTTCCTGCCTTCTCCAGACCACAGAAGCTGAGCAACTGGGGCGTCCTCAACAGGCAAGAAACATATGGCACGTGGGCCAAAAATGGCCCGCTAGGAAGTTTGATCTGGCCTGATTGATACATTTCGAAAGTTAAAAAATAGCACAAACAATTGTTTTGTAAAATTTATATTTAACGAAAAAGGTGGAAAAAATGGGCTTATTGTTATTTAGAGGTAATTATGACATGATGGTACTGGTGCGGCCCACTTGACATCTAATAAGGCTGTATGTGACCCCTGAACCAAAATGAGTTTGACAGCCCCTGATTCAGATTATCAGTTCTTCCCATGTTAGAGCTCCAGTCATAGTCAATAGATATGTTTGAATTTCACACCACTGGAAATCTAGAAACTCTATTTGTTTTTTTCTAAGACCTCAACAGCCAAACCACAGCTAGACACTGGACGGACTATTGTCACAACATAACAACTATTGTTCAATCACTTTGTGTGTGCGTGTGTGTCATTGGGGGTGTGGACAGGAAGGTGTTTGCCAAGCTGAACTTTAATGTTCCGGAGGAAACAGTGAAGAAGATTGTCATGAGCTCTCCAGGAGTGATCGAGCCGGTGCTGAGTGATCTCAAGGAGAAGATAGAGTTCAAACTGGAGAACGGCACAGAGAACACACTGGTAGATACTCAAAGGTTTCATTACAGTTACATTTATATTAACAATCAAGCATGTAGTTCCTCTGGGAATCGAACCCAGGACTTTCTGCTCTCTGTTTCTGAGACAGGCATGCTAACTGCTACATTGTGGAACCTGTGTGTCAGCACATCCATTTAACATGAAGAAAAAAAGTCACATCTGAAACTTTTCTCTTTAATTTTTAACCCAGGGATCGGAGTTGAGTGACATCAGGAAGTTCGACAAAAACTATACAGGTAAAATGGCTGCACAAACACAAATACAAACACTGATTTAATTTTTATAATGTAATTTCGATTCATATGAAGTTATTATTAAACCAGCAGAACACCCCTGACTGACCCTGACTAATTCTCCGGCTGTGCACTGTTGGCCACCAAATGGCTGATCCATTATTTAGAAACAGTCTGTGGTTTCAACATTAGGTTTTTGTGCATTACACACCCGTCTGCAGAATGGATTTTGTCACACATTCTGTCTGCGACTAAATATGTGCTTCTATATTGAACACACAGGGAAAAATGTTTTATAACTTTAGACACTTTTCAAATGTTGCTGTGCCCTGTATCAGACAGACAAAAAAGCCATAATATCATCAACCATCACATGAAATATTCTTACAATGACTCATCTTTTTTTTTATCTTTATCTGTTCTGTCGTCTTCTGTGTGCAATTAACAACTGTCAGTTACTGTGATCTGTACCAGAGTTAGGAAGGAATGTCTCTGGTACGGATAAATGTAAACGTAATCATGCAACATTGATCTGCTATGGATTTACCACTGGGGATTAAACTGGTGACTTTCTGGCAGTAAGGCAATGACATTGACCTCTACTCCACTGTGTGGTTCAAGTACAGAAAACACTAGGACAAATATATTTTTATATTAATATATCTGTGCCTATTTTCTTCCCGTGACAAGTTTTCAGTATCGTCTTTATAAATGTTCACCTTGTGTTTCCTGATGTCCAGAGCTTCATCAGAGTGGGGCGGTTCACAACAGAGGAGACATGAAAAAGGACGACACCGGCAGGCTCAGAAACAAGTAGGATAAAAAATATATATATATTTAAATGTGTTGATTTAAATCAAACTAATTAGTGATGTGATTTTATGGTAGTGATTATCTGCTTTGTTTTGTTTGTTTTTTTGTTCATTTAAAGTCACATGCAGCACACAGTGCAGTTTCACACGGACATGGACCCGGTGGTTCGCATAATACTGCAGGAGAAGGAGCAGTCTGTGACGGCTTTACAGGAAACCGTAGAGGTATACACACACACACACACACACACACACACACACACACACACCAGCTTGAGATGTTGGGAAACTGACACCGACTATGTAAACATTTGAAAACTAACTTAACTTCCCCTTTTTACTGAAAGACGTGAGTGTGAGAGAATCGGCGTCAGCTGTTAGTCTGATACATCTGTGGTTCATGACTCATCATCTAAGCATCTGCTCAGAGAATGTCTTCTTTTTACTCTGTGGCCAAAGCAAGCAATGATGCTCCTGTGAATCATCTTAAACTTTATTCAGTCCTGCTTAAATACACAGATAAAAGGATGATTAAATCTAAACCACATCCGTTTCTTTGTGTGTGTGTGTGTGTGTGTGTGTAGATCTTGCAGCTCAAGGTCAGCAAACTGGAGCATCTACTCCACCTGAAGGACATGCGAATTGAGGAACTCACACAGCATCTGGATATGTACAAGTCCAATGGAAAAAAGCAGTGACGTTCCTGCAGAGACAGAATTCAGAGTCTACGTCTGGAGTCGTGGATCAAGATGAAGTGTCACGGTCAAAGACACACAATTTCAAGAATATCGTTGGAATGATTGAAATCCAGGACAAACGGCACCAGCCGAACCAGAAATGAGTTCAGTAGGAGTGCAGACACGTTGGACAATGACAACTCCACAAACACACTGTGCAAGAATAACAATAACTGAACAAGCAGCACCGTCCGTACGATTCTTCTTATTTCCTGGGATTTTTATTTATATATAGTGTATAGATCGGTTGCATCTTTATGTATCGTTGTATGACTGACTTTATTCCACCTTCTGCTTCTTTCTACACGTCTCTGCCTTAACCTCTTATCACCATCGATTGACACAAGCGTTCCGTAAGTTTCTTCTCATTCCTTCACTTTCTTCCTATTTCATATTCTTTTTTCCCATTGGTATTGTACAGCAGTTGTCTTGTGTAATCTTCAATTGCAAAAAGCATTACACCCATCTGCCTCATCATCCCTTCCTTTATATACTTTGAATATTTATATGAATAATGTGCATGCTTCATTGGCTGTAGATTACAGTGTATTATTGTAGTAGTAAAGAATATATAAAACACAAAGACTTGTAGTTTTTGGTGTTGTACAGCTCCATAAATGACCAACATTTTCCAAAAAAATAGGTATAGTTCCAAATATATCATAAAACTTGAATCAGTATTTGGGGTAATCTACTTGAGCATTTTATAGTCACAGAAATTACAACCATAAGTACAAAAATATCAGAATCAACAACAAAGGCTTCACCTATCATATAAACCGTTGATGTGTTAAGATAGGGGTTTGAGATACAGACTGTAAAATCCATCCAGGTAAAACCACAGGAATGTTCCCATGCTGAGTCAGAACATCAACATATGAGTGAACATCTCACACACGAGCTAGGAATGTTGGATTCACTGTCAGCTGTTGACCTGTATCCTAAAGAAAACTGCTGTTCAGGGATTTTTCCCTCTGAACTGTGCAACTGGAAGTCATATATAATCTCTGGAGCCACACGACAGGATCTGGTCGTCGGAAGTCGGGGGCAAAAGGATGTAAAGAAGGAAGAAGAAATGCTGAGTCATCCAAAAAATAAGCAACTCTACCCTTGAGCTCACTTCCTGGGCATGGGTGTGGAAGTGGGTTTTAAAACTTTCCCACTTTTTACACCAGATATGAAATCAGACTCTTCATTCTTTTGAATAGTCTTTTCCAACAAATCAGCTTCAGAGTTAAACATTAAAATAAATAAACAGCAACACCATAAAGACAGAAATGACCTGCCTACTATATCTACAATAGCATTATATTTATATATATATACAATCTGGATTAAATCAATAAAATTAAAACTTTATCAAAAAAATACTTCAATTATAGCACCACTTAAAAGTCCCGTGCCTTAGTTAATATTATTATTGGAGCCCTAAATGTACTTTCCAGGCTCAATCTAGTCTAAGGTCGCCTCCTAGCGGCGTCAAGCCGTACTGCATTATATCTACACAATCAGGCACAGGTAGAAGCGAGGTACCAAAATAGGTTTTATTTGACAACATCGTCCAGACTTGAAACCACTTTTGTCATATAAATGTTTTAAAACAAGAAAACAATGTTTAAATTTCACATATTGTACAAAATATTTCACACACCAAAAAAAAAATCATACCCTCTCTTTAACAGCTTTATTAGTATTTACCACCAAAGCAAATGCAGAGTGCAGACAGTAACTTTCATCCAGGAAGTCAGGTAAACATCACAGCGACCTCCAAACTCTTTACATGTTGTTTTTTTGTTTGTTTGTTTTTTTTTTGTTTGTTTTTGTGTAGCAAGCAGCAGATGAGGCTGTTCTAGTGCAGTTAGACTGTACAGATTCACAGGTTTAGTTCAAGTGGAGTCTTTTATGTTGTAACTGTTGTTACAAAAAAAATTCCTCCGGAGAATCCTGCTGTGATTTAAGGCTTGAATTCAATGAAGTGTGAATAGTGAAGAAAAACAAACACAGGGCAGACTCTAGCACCAGCATGCATCCAGTGACAGCTTAAGCATCAACATTCATCATTACTCAGAACAAAGCTTCATGTAGTGCTGGAGCTCACAGCTTCACCCAAACCAATCGCAGAGACAGTGTCAAACTCTTTACACAGAGTATGTGCCAACCCTTGTGTTTTACAAGCATTGAAAAAGATTGACTTTTCTGGATTGAGAGCCCAAAAAAAACATAAACAAAAACAGACCAGAGGCAGCGCCGGTAAATAGGTGTTGCATTAATATTCATGTTAAATCACGATGTTGGCAAAAATCAGAACGATTCTTTTTTCTACCTATTTGTTTAACTTTTCAAGCTAATGTTTTACTTAAATAAAAAGTTAATTTCCTGAGAGTTAATATTCGATCATCTCACAATAATCATTTGATTTGAGCCTTAAACAACTTTGCGTGCACAGCCACAAAAGACAAAATTGAAGACTACTTAACAAGGAAGACAATGCTCTGTCCTTCTGCAGCTCATTTGATGTAATCCACCTCTGTCATAAAAAAAATAAAAGAAGGACCTGGTCATTCTTAACACACAAGGCTGTTGTTTAAAGTCAGTCAGCATTAGGACTCTGAATGAAAAATGTTTCTGTTGTTCTTTACCCTACATATTAAAAATATAATTTCAAGTACTACCCAACATTAATTTCTAGAAAGACTTAATCAAGTGTCAGCAAAAAAAAAAAAAATGTAGCAAGCAGCTTGGAACGCTACAAGAGTAAAATGTTTCTAATGTGATTACTGCAGTGAATAAATGCTAGCGGTGACACTGACCTTTTACAATGACTGAGTTTTTCCACATAGATCTCCCTAAGAGTTGTTGAATGTTTCATAGTACATGAAATAACATTTTGAGGATGTTAATATGGGGAAACAGTTTAACAGTCTGCTTCTAGCTTGTTGGTTTTTTATATACATAAATTACTGACTAGAAGCAACATCGTTGTGTTCAAAATTGAGAAAACTTTCCTTTTACCTTTATGGATTTTCTAAATTGCTCTGCTCAAAAGGAGAAATTATGTCTAATTTAAACACTGTGTAAGTTCCTTTTCACAGCAAGCAGTGCCTTCAAAGGATTGATTAAGAAAATCAACTGTATGTTAACATCCCAACAACAATGTTCTTGCCTGGACAGTAGAAAACATTTTGTTGCATGAAACAACCATTTTTGCATCAGTAATTTTATACTTTGTACATTTCAAAGAAAATTCAAAAAATCATGGTTATTGGTTAAAATAATGATGTTATGAAGTACTACGCTACGCACATTTGAACCAATTGCCCAGTTTAAAAATCCATCTACTCTGTTCTGATACAAGTTATATATTGAAGTAAAAAAAAAAAAAAAAGAGATCAGGCCGCATTTGTATAACACATAAAAAATGAATATATGTGCAATACTATCAAATGGAAATCTGAGTGGGAACTAAATTGTGAGATCATTTAAATGCTTTTACAGCTATTTTAGCTGCTTTACAGTAAATAAAGGGACAACAAATAAGTAGTGATTTACAGTAAGAGTTGATTCACCACCCACTCACCATGCAAAGCATTCCGCTTTTAATTAGTGTTACCTGCCATTCCTAGTTTTAAAAAGTCATTAGTGAGTTTTCATCATAACCACTTCTCTTGCATACAGAAACAAGAAAGCACATTTCAAATTAGGGCGACTTGCCATCGCCATCTCAGACAGAAGCATCAATTTGACTTCAATTTTATCAACTGCATTATTTTCATTCCTAAAAACTTTTTTCCAAAACAATGAAAGGTGAAAAAAACACATACTTTCCCTTTAATCTCCACCATTTGTCCCTTAACATATCTTTCACTGTAGAATCTTCCACTACCTTTTTGCCATTTACACATAATCCTTGAGGTGTCCTGCTCACAAAAGTAGCTTCAAAGCCATCATCACCTTCAGTTCCATGCTCCTTACCCCACAGAGCAGAGCAGTCGTCATCAGGGTCTCACTGTCGCGTGCAGAGGAAGCATCCAAAGAATCACAGCCCGTCTATCTTTCCTTTGAGCAGGTCTGCTTCAGTCTGGGACTGAGGCCTGGGTGGGCCATTGCTTCCCTCTACAAACATATTTGGGATGTCGTGGCCAAAGTAGATCTTACTGTTGGCTGCTATGGCCTGGTACTTCATGAGCTCCAGGTACTCTGGGGTCAACTTCAACTAAATGATGTGAGACAAAAACAAATGTCAGAGAAAATACATAAATGTTTTCATGTAGTTGTGTATTTGGGTCTAAACTTTTTTTTTTTACCATGTTTGCTTCTGCTTACTTGGAAGCAGTGTAATACTCTGCGTCTGCCCTGGCCTTCTCTCTGGCCAGGAAGGCAGAATCTGGAACAAAGAGAAAGTGATGAATCAGAGTTTAGGTAAAAGCCGTTTAAACGCCAAACAAAAGCTGAATTCATTTTCTTTTTTTAATTCCCATTGTTTACATAAAGATATACAACGTAACAATGTTAAAAACTATTTTTTAGAAGTTAAAAAGCTGACAATTATAAGTTAATTTATTGCAAATTAACTACAATGTATCAACACCAAATATAACAACATAACTAATCGGCCATTGGAACTTGCCATTGTTACAAATTGAAACAGAGGTTAAAAACGTCAATATAAATAATGCAAATAAAACCAGTTAGACACTTCAAGAGTTGGACTCAGCGAAGGAGGCCAACTGTTCTCGATACATGTAAAAACAAAACCCAAGTGAGTGATGAAGTTTTTTTAACCAACAGAGATGGAGCCTAGTTACAGTTCATTTGTACTAACCCTCTATTCCTGAGATCTTTTTCTCTGTCTCTTTCTCCATCACCTTCTGCTGGAAATGGATCTCTGCCACTTGAGCCACTTTCTGAGCCTCTGTAGGACAAAGATGTGAGTACAGTAGGAGGTCAACAGAATGTTAACATACTCGTGCCATGGGAAAGAGGAACCCATGAAACTGTCCATGATGTAGATATAAGGCTAGATTTACCAATTATTGCCTTTTTTCTTTCAGTCTCTGCTTCCTTTTCCACCACCCTCTGAGTCTGAGTTGTGATTAAAAGACGAGTCTTTTCTGCCTCCCTGCGTGCGCACACACACAAATATAAGATATCTTGTCTGCTTTTCATTAAACTTAGTACATACTGTAGGTAGTAAATTTTGACACTCGAACCGTAATCTGGATGTTTAGGAACTCACATCAGTTCAAAGTTTCTCCTGATGGCCTCCGGGATCTTGGGTTTGGTTACACGTACTGCCTTCAATAAAGTGCAATAACGGAGTAAAGAAGGATAAAGAGAAATAAAATTAGATTTTACACCAAATCTGTCAAGAGAAGTGTTTCACGGATTGACCGCCTGGAGTGGCCCCAGCATCCCTGACATGCATTAAGTGGTAGAAGACGAAGGATATGGAAATAAACAGTGTAGGTTCCAGTCCTGCCCATAACCCTGAATTGGTATAAACCAAAAGAAAAGTTTTATTTTTAAATTTTCTATGAAGATACTGTGCATAATTTTAATACCAGGGTTTTACCCAAATTCACGACTTATTCTTCTTACTCTAGTTTAACACTGCAGTCACTTTATTGAATCGCCTTTGAGCTTTACTGTTCAGGTGTGTCTGAATACCTGTATTGTGAGACCAGGTGCCATAACATTCAGATCTTTCTGTAGTGCAGTCTTCAGATTCTCATCTATAATGTCTGTAAGAAAAAAACCCCACAGTAGCCTTTTGTCACAGTGTTCAACAAGAAACTTTCAGGAATTTCTGTAATTATACTCAAACAAACGCACACAGTGTTTCATGTAAAGCTTGAAATAGAACTTAATGGTGTGACACTGTAAAACAGTACAGTTTTGTGTGATCACAGGACTGGTCTTACCAAAGAGCTCAATGTAGACCTCCTGGAGTGTGTGCACACTGCAGAACTGGTTGAGTTCATGGTGGATCTTGTTGAAAATGAGTGTTTTGTCATAATCAGCAGTGTAATTCCTCACAATGTCCAAAACTGCAGAGAGTGACAAACACACACATGCCAAAGGTTAAGCAGATCTGTGGACCGCATAAGGAACTTATGCAGCAGAGGAAGCCAGAATAATGTCTACCTGCTGTAGTGATCAGCATGTTGACAACTTCTATTCTGTCAAAGTAGATCATAACTCCACCACTGTGGAAGAAAAAATGTGATTAAATACACACACTGAATAAACCCACATGAGCTGTGGCAGCATTAGTGATGACTTCAGGTTTACCTTGTTCCACAAGGCACATTCTTTATCTCATCAGTTTGGAGAGTCGTCTGAAAAAGACAATGAAACGTTATTCTCCAGTTGCACATCTACATATCTATTCCCTTGCCTGAGCTGGTCAACAGTAAACCCCTTTTTCTAATCGTCTACATTTTTTTTTTTAAAAAACAGCAGACAGATCTGGAATGCTGGCAGGCCAAACACAGTCTCTGCTGACTAGGCTTTCTAAATTTGTGCAAAATGTGATCAGGTCCGACCTCTTAACATGCACATCTGGGCCTCTCGCTGAAGCTCCTTCTATATACAATGTCGATTCCAAAACTTGTAACCAGTTAACCTGCTATTTTTTCATGTTCATGTTTAACAAGCTGGATATGTTTGACTTTTAACCTCATGAATAAAGGTGCACCTGCATAATTTGGAAGTGCACAAACTGATTACAGAAGTGTGAGGAGACAATTTGTTGTGTGTGACCAAAACCTGAAACAAAAAAACTGTTACAAATTATGTTAATTTTTAGGTGTGTCCCTTCCTGGGTTTGACATTTTGGTTCTTCAAGTTCTGAACAAAGCAGAAAATTATATGATTTGACAAAGCACATTTTTTCTTTGTTCTTAGTGACCTGATAGTGATTGTGGTTTTAATCTTCACCTTCTGTCTTTGTGTGTCTACAGTGGAGGGTTAGACAATAAAAAGCTTTTGGATAAAAGGTACAATCGGCTTGTTAGACTTAAGCCATTTCTGTTTGACAATACTTGAATATTACTGTACTTCATCACTGCTTGTGTTTTTATCTGCATATATTTATATATTTTTTGCTTTCTGGAGGTTTAAGGTCAAAGCATTTTGAGACATCTTCTACACACCTGAAAGTTACACAACCATAGCAGTGTAAAATCAAACGAATAATAAACCTTTATCGTAAAATTCAGTTTCTTTGGAGCCCTATTTGCACATGATTTGTGTTTTTCAGCACCTGCTTAATATCAGTTTCCTCCAAAGCACAAAAGCTAAGTTTACCTGCACAGATCTGAAGGTGGTGATGAAAGGCAGCATGATGTGATATCCAGGACCGTTTGCAGAAGTCAGCAAAGCTCCACCCCTTAAACAAATATAAACAAATTATTTGGTTTATCAAAAAAAATGCATCTTTTTAGCAATCATTTAACTCATTCAATTCTTACAGTATAATATTATTAAATTGTGCCTCCAATTATGTACACAATGTTTTTTATATTCATTAATATCTCTTTTTGAGTTGTTGTTTGCCCCATGAGCATACTTTCTGTAAACAAAACAGAGAAGTTGAAAACTAGCTTATCATCGAGTCATTTCACATTTGTACCGAGTACATTTACCTGTTAATTTTTAACAGTTATTATTGAGTGTTACAGCATTGTCTCAGTGCAAAAGATACATTTCAATCCCCAGATTGATTTGAATGAACTATTGTACAGATTGTACCAAACACAATGTATATGTATGTGTTTATTAGTATGAGTCTTAAGCTCAGAGTTGAAATACCTGTAGTACACAGCCAGATGGCCTTCCTCGATTTTGTGAATTGAGGAGTGCAACATAATTGCCAGGACTCCGGCTATGGCTGCAAACACTGCACCTACATGTGGCATCGTCATCCTTTCTAACCCTCCACTGTAGACACACAAAGACAGAAGGTGAAGATTAAAACCACAATCACTATCAGGTCACTAAGAATGTACCCATGGCAAACAAAGACATATTGTAACATTTAAGCTTTGCTTAGAAAATGTAAATGTTAATTTCCACACAGAAACAAAATAAGTATAAATTTGTTATACACAGTTCAGTTCAGTTTCATTTAGCCATAACATAAATTGATGAAGTGCAGCAACACATGTTCTTGCTGTAGAAACTTGTAGTTACACTAAGTTATTCATGTTGGCCTTAATTATTGCCCTTTGATACAAAACCCTTGTTCTGTTATACTTTCCAACTAATGGGTTTTAGTCAATGTTTTCAGTAAACAAACCTAAAACTACAGTCAAGACAAGTCGCCATAGCCAAAGAGAGGCGAAACGTCTGGTTAACACGTAAATAAATAATAAAACCCATTCTTTGGAATACCACCCACACTTTTTAGGTTGTATGGTATGGACACAGAGAGAGTGCATTTTTCACTTCACATTTCCACTCCCTGACCACTTGCAAAACAAAAAGAAAACAAGCAAACTCTTCACAAACTATGACCCGGTAAACCAAATCACATGGCGCTTTAATTTGATTATTTTGAAGAATTTCCAACGTAATCCCTCTTAAATGTTGTATTAGATGTGCCTAATACACAATGTATAATATATTTAAGGTTTTTACAGTAGTATATTGAGATAGGAGAGTAAATACAACTATAGCAGATGTGATGCATTCTCACTGCAATCAACGTGACAAACGTCAAAATACTACACCCGAACTCCACTCAGAGTAGAACAAAGGTGAGGGCTTGTACACGTTATCCAGAATAAAACCCTTACTACTTTTGACAACACGTACAGTCTACTAAGGTTTATCAGCTAATATTAGAAAACCCTCTCTATCAGCTGCCTAGAGCTAACGCTAACATGCACTATTAGCCTGCACAAACCTACGAGTCGCTGCTTCGCCCGCACAATTACTGAGTGGAATATTGGCTAAACGAACATCACACTGACATAAATCATAACTTAATTCATTACGATATTCTTTAAACTTCAACGTGGTTTCCGTTTAGGAACGCTAGCGTAGCCAAAGGTTTAGCCCGACAGCTATACATGTCTTTATCAGTATCTGGTTCGGCTACATTCGTCTAGCCTCGTCTTAATGTTAGCGTGTTTAAATATTATTGTTAACCAGGCAGATTAAACTCACCTACACGGAGACAGAAGGTATATTTATAACAGTAAGCTGGCTGGCAGTTTTAAAATAAATGTGTCAGCTCAGACACTGCCTTTCGTTCGCTCCTCCTCGTATGACTCGCCTTCCTCCTCCGCCTCCTACTCGGTTCTACTGGTTACATGATGAAGCATTCATTAACCGACACTTGGTTTTTTGTTCTCTTTTTTTTATCAGTCAACAAAAATAAAAAAAATATGACAATTTTCAATTATGTTTAAATTAGCAATTTAAATTAAAGTACTAATAATTTACAATAATAAATTCCACATAAAAGACCAGATTATTCAGACAGGTCAGACAGACGACAATCTTTGTCTTCCCCTACAAAGAAAAAATATGGTGGTTACTACAAAGAAAATCACACTTAGTGTCTTTTAAAGAATCTAACTATTTTTCTCTTCTTCTCATCATAAAAATTCACCCACGTCACTTTGTGCTACATTTTTATGCTTGGAATTCCGCAGCTCTCATGAGAAGTTGGCCCAAAGGTTCTATAAACAAGCTATTTCCTGAACTTCCTGTATTTGCAAACAGTTTGCTGGCTTTAAGTGTGAGATAGTTACTGTCTTACAAGAATGAAAAAAAGAAAAAGAAAAAACAGAGAAAACGCATTCAATCATGACTTGAAATACCATTTGTCTTGTACATTTATCACCTTTACTTACAAATGAACTCAAAATTCATTAGCAGCAATAACATCCTTTATATTATTAGTAAAATAAATATATATTGATGACTCCTCAATGTTGTCTTTAAAAAAAACCTATAATTTACATGTTAGTTCATACATAAATAGCTAAATTTAACACACTGCTATTGTTAAAACCTTCCAATAGTTTCATGTGTTGGTGAAGGACACATTTTTAAAAGTCTAAACCACTTTCATTGAGTGCATGTTTAGTAAAGCACGGTTCCTTATTTCACTTCTTTGGTCTCTGCTCCCCCCCCCCCTTTTTTTTTTTACAGCTTCTGAGGTTGACCTTTTACTCCGCTGTACTGCGTCCAGCTCCAGTCCTCATCCTGGAGAGAATATAAACACAAGTTACTTTGACAAGTAAATGATCATTAACAGTTTACTGTTAAACTACAACTCTTCTCTAAATACAGGTAAACAAGAGTGATCTGGTGTGATTTAATACATACAGACAAGTTTCAATGCGTGCCTTTCATACCATGACACTTTGCTTCATCTCCTGTGTGGCATCTTGTAGCAGAGAAGTTAATTGACTCAGGTATCGCTGATTCTCATCCAGAAGTTGACAAACAGATTCACTGAAAAAAAAACCAGAAAACACTGAATATGGGTATATTCTGTATAAAACATAACAGGCTTTCATTGACTCTGTATTTGTGATTTGAACAGCGTTTACCTGCCAGTGGTTTCTTGCTTGAGTAGCTGTGTTTGAGAACTCTCCTGGGCCTTGATGCAAAGACATAAATACGGTAAATACATACATGAATAACTACCCAACATCTGTGTGTATTCTAGTGCCATCTGTTGTATACGCACACACGCAATCTTGAGAAGATACCAGAACTCTTTCTGTCTCTTCATTTGCATCTGCATCACTTGAGCCTCTGCAGCCTTGATGTTCTCCACTGATCTCTCCAACTTAGGAAACAAATCCACAATACGCTGCTTACACACCAGGATGGTACTGTTGGAAGTATAATGAGAAGAAAGTGAACATAACAAACAACAATGTTCTATTACACAATTAAATAAGTTTGAACTGTACCAGGGAGGAGAATTGTACAATATATTTATAATCCTTTAAAATATAAATTATTTTTGGTTCTAATTATTTAATTTCTGAGCAAAGAAACATTTTTTTCTTGTTCCTGACCAGAGCTCTGATTTTTATATATTTTATATATTTTTATCTTTACCTCAGATGAGTGTACAGGTCCTTCAGCACTCTGTCCTGGTTCTGAACTGTTTGAAGGATGGTCTTCACCATGTCTGAGCTGTCACTGTAGCCATGTGGAGGGTCAGGACCTGAACAGACACACTCCTGTGATGAAGTGTTTACTATCACATGTCATAACCACACTGTCACAAAGTCAAGTGTTATGCCTTAACATAACAAACTGTAAAAATGACAACACACAATCAAAAAAACAAAAAACAGAAAGCAGGAGCTCTTCAAAACAAAAGTAAAAATACTTACTTTTACATTTAGCCTTCAGTTGCTTGTAGAGTTCGATGGCTCTGTCCTGTCTGAAACAATTGAAGTAGACATGCTGCATGACACTGCTTCTCGAAGGAAACAATTCTTGATTAAACATAAAATAAATACTGACAGTTGTTCCATGACGTCTCCCTGTCTCCTTGCAAACGGACTCCTCTGCAACTCCACAATTTCAGAATGTAGAGACACGATCTCCTCGTCCAGATAACTAATGTCTGCAACCTGCGGTGGAAAAACACCAATCACTTTTTAAATTTATTTTGAAGGGGAAAAAAAAACAAAAACACATCATACAAAACTGACAAAACTGTCCCACCTTTGCAAAACTGTCAGCCTTGTCTTCGTTTTCCTGCCATGTTTTCAACATTTTTTCAGATGCTTCATGTGTACAGAAAAACAGTAGATCAATAACAATAATAATAATAATTATGATGAAGAAAAAAAAATAATGAAAGATGTCATCACTGCAGCAGTTAAGGTTGGACTCACAGATGCCTGTCTGTCTCTGCTTGGTGTACTGCTCCAGGTCGTGCTGGATGCTGGTTTTAAAGAAAGCCAGTTTGGCTCGGAGCTGCTGTGACTGGGAGAAGAGTAGGTTCTTGTAGCGCGTCAGGTTGGTGTTGTAACGGAGCAGACTGAGCCTAAACACACACACAATGCTCAGAGTTTAAGGATGATCCAAAACGCAGCGATATGCACTGGTTTGTTTATGACACACTTACATGGCGGCCTTCTGTCCCTGGTAAAGACGAATGTAGTCTTCTTTTAGGCCACAGATGTAGCTCACTGCTTCACCCCACACTTTCCTCAGTGCAGACAGTGGCAGCTGGGTTTTGGTCTCCCTGACTGAGATATTACATAAAATAGTGTCACCAGAAAATCTGTTGTGACTCTTGACCTTTGGACAATTGACATACAGTAACACATTTTGAATTCATTGTTGGTTTTGGTCAAAGACTAGGATACACGGTAGAGGTCTGAAATATACCGATAAAGTTGACACTGTCAGGCAGAGGTCGAGCAGTCAGTGGTCCAGAGTACTTGATTAAACTCTTATCAAATAGGAAGACAATGAAGCTGTCCCAGCCTCGCTGAAATTAAACATCAGAGAGAAAATGTGTTTTTGTAAATTAAAATGATCACAACTGGGTTGTAGGAGAAAAGTTTTCACTAATTTCAACCAAACTACTTCACTTGGTCTTGAACAAATTCACATTTACGTCAAAAAGAAAATAAGAAAATCAACTCCAGCTGCTGAAGTGAACATTGATGCCTCATACCAGCCCATCTGGTAAACATTGTGTGGGGGGTCTGCGTGGGTCTAGGGAGATCCCCGTCTCCAGGAGCAGCTCCTGACTCAGCGGAGAAATGTGGCTCTGAGTGTGCGTTTCAAGACGAAGCTGCAGGGAGTGTAAACTCTCCTCAGCCCCCAGAACCAAGGAGTGCAGCTGAGCAGACGTCATGTCCAACACGTGAATAACCTGGAGAGACCCAGTTCTATTGTTCAGTGATATGTTAAAAAAAATAAACACAAACATTGAATCCCACCACTGACCTTCATGCTGAGAATATTCTGTAAAGCTGTGAAGCAGTGTGGCTGGTTTCTGTCAAGATCCTGACCCCCGCCACGTGCTGCAGGGTCCCATAGTAACAGCATCTGTAGCAGAGACTCAACCGGTTCCAACAGAGGCCTTTGAAAAATAAATAATAATTAATAATAAAAAATAATTAGAAGTTTTCATGTAGGTTAAAATGAAGAGTTATGGCACGCATGAAGCCACCCTCTCTGTATCTACCTGCTGAGATTGTTGGGATATGGCAGATGGGCAGAGAACCTGACTTCTCCATTCATGTCCTCAACTGCCATGATGTCATTGGGACCTTTGTTCTTGACTTTACTTGTCCTACAAAAAGAACAAAGGAAAAAAACATTTAGACATGGAGTTGGTTTAAAAAGGGCACAAAACATCCAGAATTATTTATGTGCTCATGATGTTTTTAAGCTTTAAGCCAGGAAATAATAATAAAAACACATTAGCTTTGACTCACCATTGTACTGGTTGCATGTGGTGGAGGAAGGGACGAAAGCCACAAACACACTCAAAAACCACAGTTCCAAAGCTCCAGTAGTCTACAGTGACAGTATAGGGTTTGCTCTCAAACAGTTCTGGTGCCTGACAAAAATGCAGATCTAAATTTAATAAAGAAGTCTAATAAAAACAGGATGTTCAATGTAAATAAGTACATGCTTGGTGTGTATTTTATAATGTAAATCCTGAAAAATCATACAGAGGATTCATTAATTTTTTTTACCAAATACTGTAGTGTTCCAACAAAGGATGTACACAGACTCCCCTGATCAAGGTCTTTGGCATAACCAAGATCTATAATTTTATGAACAATCTGCAAAAAACACACAAAAATGGTAATACTGCAATGAAACTTGTATGATGTCTGATATTTGTTTTAGATTGTACAGTCAAACATGCTCAAAGAGTATTTAATTCACCTTTCCATTAACCTCCTGTAGGACTATGTTCTCTGGCTTCAGGTCTCTGTGGATGATCTTGTTTTCATGAAGATACTGTATACCAGATCCTGCGGAAATAATATTACACATATAAATACAGTATATGCATTATAATGTGCTAACTGAAGACGTTTTTGCTTTTACCTATGTCACTAAGCAGAGGGAGCACTTCACTCTCCTTAAGGCCACAGCAGTTTTCTGGTTTGTTCAAAACCTGAATAAAAATGTACAGAAAATGTCATGTAACACACTGAACCTTTATAGACACGAGAGCATGAAACTGTAGAATGGTACACTGTAATTATTCTGTTTAACCAGTAATATGCTGATTTTCTTGTTAACAGTCATACAGAATAACATCACTGTTTCTTTTGTTTTTTAAACAACCTTAAAATATAGCCTGTGGTATAGTTTAAGTTGATTTTAACTCTTCCATTCAAACCTAAGGAATAGTTCAAAAGCGTATGTTGAAACTTTGGATAAGAGGTACCTTGCGAAGGTCTCCTCTAGAGCAGTACTCCATTGCCAACAAAGGTAGGTCATTTAAAGCAATGGAGTTCAACTCTTCTGGTACTTCTCGGGCATGAACAACATTCGTGTGGTTCAGCCTGCACAAGGGAGGGAGCAAATCAAAAAAATAACTTGAGAACTTCTGTAACCGAGTTCGTGAGTCACAATGATCTGAACGCACTTTTTCATGATCTGGATCTCTCTGCTCCAACGGTCTCTGTTTTTGGAGTTCAGCTCCAGGCGACAAAGTTTCAATGCAATTTTTTCTCCAAGCTCCTGCATCATCACAAATGGAACATCCATTCGAAACAAAGATTAAGATCAAACTCTGGATTTCTGTTCTGCTCAGTGTATGGGTGACAGTTCTTACAAGGTGCTGATACAGGTAGACATGTCCAAAGCCTCCCATCCCAAGTCTCTCCTTCATCTCCCAGGAACCACACAGCTGGTTTTGTCTGAGAGCAGCTCGCTCCATATTGTGAGGTCTGCAGTGGTGACTATCAACAGATGGAGTCTGTAGAAAACCTCCAAACAAATACTAATAGAAAGTCAACATTTACTTTTTGGCATTATGATTTCTCGTGTTAGGCCAAAACATAAGGCAGAAAAGCAGAGAAGTAAATAATTCAATCATAAAGCAGGGAATTTTAACAATACATTTCTAAAAAGGTTAACTTTTAAAACTTTTAAAATATTTGCAATTTTCAGATTTATATGACATAAGTGCCGCAAAATAACAATCAAAATATTAATAATATATTTCTGTAAATAAATAGTTTTCTGCATAGAAATTAATAAGTCTAACATACACAAAAAGTTAGATAAAAGCGTTCGTTTATGATTCGTATATCATTTATAAAGTCTCAAAAATACAGTAGATAGAACAATAAAAATGCAACCGTTTCCCACTATTTTGTCCCACAAGCTCAAATACAACATACTTACTGTTCTAATTTCGAGTATATGTTTACTACTGTTTGTTAGTTTTTATTATGTCATTTGAATATTGCTCTTCTTTTTGATAATTCTAACTTCTTGTAGCCATCGTTAATGACCCAGGGCTTACGGTACTTAAGTGTTTACTTGAGGGACGTCAGAAAACTTTAACATCAACTAAATACAGACAACGTGAACCTAATATTTACAGAAACATGACCTTCCTAAATAAATACTATGAAATATTTACTCACCTGCTGTCTCTGCAGACACTTCCTAAGCCTTAGACGTCACAACATCGTTGCTGTAGAGTTAGCTCAACGTGTTGTTTACGCTCCGTTATGTTGTTTTAACTTCAGTAAAGATGATCCAAAAAATTGACTTTCGTCAGAACCATTTAAATGCTTCAGACTTGAAACTGGAAGTTAGCGGCGTTCTATTTTCGCAGCATTCTCCGTTTAATATTGCTAAAGTTAGCTGAAAGTCTTTGAAGAGCGAAAGTAAACGGGTAGAACACACCACGGTTCTGCGCATGCGCGTCAATCGCATGGACTGCAGGACTACTCCCTCTGTTGGGGATTTCCCGTATAAACACATGCAAACCGCCCTTTACAGCTTGTTTCAAATACGCAATACTCCGTACACAAAGCCATTTGTGGTAATGATAGAATATTAAAACCAGATGGCGCCCCGTAAGTCTGAGTCATTGTTCAGCTTAAAAATTTCTGTGGACCATAAAAAAACAATCCTATTTCCCTTAACTACAACTAAATTATGTGACTAGACTAATAAGGCTGTTAGCGTTTAAAATAAGGATTTAAGTAAAATCCCATTATATTTGTACAGTGTACAGTATGCAGTTTCTGAACTGACTTTAAGAGCCAGTTGTACACTGTGGCTTTAGTCGATAAATAGTCGAATAATTTAATATTTTAATTTTGTATTTATAAAAATAGATTATCTTCTTTGTGTACTGTAGAGCATTTGCACTTTTATTTTGTATTTATTTGGTTTATTTAATGGTTAAATAAACATTGTTATAGTTCTTGCAAAATAATGTGTCTGTTAAATTTGACATTTTCACATCTACTGAGCAAAAAAAGTCCCCAATTAGTTCTCTTTTTGTGTTGTGTATTTGAATTTATCTGTAGCCTGTATTGGTGGTTTTAGAAGAAGGTGTGAAGATCCTGTTCTCAGAAAAAAACATTTGGGTTTCCTCTTCAATTCATTTTTTATCACACCTTAAAGAGAGAATGAAAGGAAGGTGAGATGGTATCATTGTTTAACACAGTGCAGATTAATGATAGATGATTAAAATGGTCTATATATTTTAAAATACTGCACTAATTACGAAATGATGACACAATTTCTATTTGTAAGAATTCTCCCTAAGTTGCGTTATGCACTAATTTTAGTTCCACCTTTTTTTTCTCCCCACAATTAACTTAACAGTTCTCACTATCTTAACTTATCTTGACTAACACAGGACGCATCAAAACCAAGGCGACACAAAAACAGTTAACTTAAATGGTGTCGTGAGAGACTCATGTCAGTCTTTTAGTAAGTCACAGTATTGTTGAATATATATTAATGTTGTTGTTCTAAATAGAGATCAACATAATATTACATTTTTTTAAACCAAACATTTAGTCAAAGAAGTTAAAGGCCATCAGATTTGTTTCAAGTTGCAAATGTAAGCAAAAGTTAATGTGAGATTTCTTCTAAAGAAGTGCATAATTGCCAAGAGTAAATCAAAGCTAAAAGGTTTCCTAAAGTTCGTTTCAAGTCAACCAACCCAGAAATCAGCGTTGTAACATCTTAGAGACATTTATATGCAGGCTGTTGTAAAAGTTAGCTGCAGTGTCGATAAACATGAGCCCAAAGCCATGAAAACGAATGCTGATAAACTCCACCTAAAAAGACTTGTGTTTAATAGTACGTTTTCTAATTTTATTTTTGACATAGTACATACTGTATACTGGTAACAACATGAGGAGTTCCTGTTTCATCAGTATTTACACCACTCAGAATCCACAACCACGAATACATTGGGTTGGGTTTCTCTAGAATTGGTAATTTCTCTGATACATTACTTCTTCTTGTTGTTGTCTTCTTCTTCTGAAGACCTTTTGATTTGTTACGACAAAAGAGAAGGAAATGTGAGTAATTCACATGTAACACTTACTGATGAGGAAATATTTTCTTGGGAGGCAGGATAATTCCCCTGAATGTTTTATCTGGAGAGACTGCTAAGAAAAATCATTCTAAACCTGATTTTCTTTTTCTTCAAAAAACATTCTTTTGCTCCATTCATGTCCTGTGGATTAGTAGCCAATGTGTACTGTATGCACGTAGCAATCTGCAGATGATTCAAGTGCACATAAAAGTCAGTGCTGATGCAATGTTGGGGTCTGAGAAACGGAAGAGAAAAAGAGAATCAAGTGTGTTTGGGTTTCATCTGTTGTCCGTGTCATCATTGTCTTTGACATGGTAGAACTTGTGGTAGTTGTGTAGAAATATTTGGTAGAAGTAAAAACAGCAGAAGTAGCAGTTGTAGTAATAGTAATAGCAGTGGTGCAAGAGAGAATTAAAACAAAATATAAAAATAACTATGTCTTGGACCACCATTGGTATTATCTATCAATGCTTTAATAATAGGTATTGTTGATATCTTCCTGAATACCAGGGGAAAATATTGTCCAATCACATTTTTTTCATTCCCTATTCTTTGTAAGGTAATTAGCCCTTCATATTTGGCATCAATGAAAATCTATAATGTTTTCTACAGACAGTAAGACGGGGTTTGTTCAGTAGTACACAGTGAGTGGGAGATATTCAGGTTCACTAACGTCCTCCACAGAGGTCAAATCAGGAGGATATCATTGTTACTTCAATATGTGTATTCATTATACGATCGCAGGAAAAAAATGTTTTTGCCTTGTTTCTCTGATGTTAACATCAACACTCCTGTTTAACACTTCACTGAAATGTAATATGGAGCCTAACATGAGCTACAACTAAAGAAAACCAGTACGTACTGCAACGTCCCTGGTACTTCTGTGTCATTTTCAATTTTGATCAAGGTTTCACAATGACATCACTCCACATCCGCTGTAGGCAGGGTGAAGGCAGCGTTATATGTATATGTGTATTTATATGTTACTTCTGAGAGCTGATGATGAAGCAGATGTTTACAACAACCTTATACGTCCAACCCAAAGAATGGTCAAACCAAATTATTTAAAAAAAAAAAAAAGATCAGTCAGATCCTACATATATATATATATATATATATATATATATATATATATAATATTTTAGGACGTTAAGATGTTCCTTGTTTTCCTTGACACTTTGGTTTGAACAAATACATTTAATTATATTTTAGGACTTCTAAGCAACTACCACTGCTGACACAGTGGAGCCAAACATAAACACATCAATAACCCTGTCTGTTACCAATTTTGGATGCACTCTATGTGGGAGGATTAGTGTCACAGGATATGACAACGATGAGTGGGAGACATCAATTCTTTCGTTGACTGGCTCCTCCCACCTGGAGTGATGTGTATATTAATATGGGAAGTGACTGCTGCAGAATCAGCGCTGAAACGTCTGGAGAGCCACCAGTGTGATTCAGTGTCCTCACTGAAGACAGGTGCATACCAGGGGACACAGAGCGGAGACATCAGTCACTTCAGCTGGACCAACGATCACAGAGGAGCCATAGCAGGACTGAAGGGACCGAAAGGTAACAAAGATGTACGTCAAAGATTTAGCTTGTTGGGGATTTTAAGACTTTAGGAATTCTTTATATGTGGTGATTTTAAAAATTAAATCTTCAAATTTGTTTGTTGATAGTCTCTTGATTAGGTATTTGTACGCTTTACAGTTTTTACAACTATTGTTAATTCTTATCTTAAAAATAAAGAAATTCTTCTTCTTCTCTTTGTTAAATTGTCCAGAAGAAATGCCCTAAACCTTTTTAATTAGTTTTTGCACACATGTGCGTACTTGTGTGCAAGAACTACACACAGCAGTCAGCTACTGTGATAACGTCGCACTCCCTGTACCGATAAGAATTGTTTTTACAGCACATAGTGCACACAGTTGTGATCCTTCTATCTGAAAATGTTCCACTCAAATCTCCAGTTCATACATTTTCTTTTTTGTGTGTGTTCAATTTCAATAAAAAGGAAGGGAAAGTATCACGTTGTTTCTGTACCATTGTGTGCATTCTTTTAATCTCCATATATGGCCTTCATTATATCATCATACATTGTTTTGTGTTCCTGTTTTTTCCACTAGACAATTCTCAGACAAGAATAACCCCAGTAAGGAGAAGAGAAACTGGAAGTCAAGATGAACCTGCTGGTGATCTTCAGTGTTTTTACAGCACTGTGTGTGAACATGGTGAGCGACAGAGAGAGGAAATGAGTTTATTTTTAAATCCTTTGACTAATCATCTTAGTGACTGTGCATTGCCTGCGGTTTTCAGGTTATTTCCAGAAAAAGGTCATACAAAAATCTGGACAAACCTCTGGCCACTTCTAGACGTGAGAGAGCAGCCCAACACTGACATTTACCGTCTTACAGTTACCGACCACGCACACTGACTGTTTTCTTTTCTCTTTTGTGTGGTCACCTACAGAGATGTGTCGCTCTGGAGATGGCAGCAGCTACAGAGGATTTGTCTCCACATCGGCAGATGGCAAAAATTGTATGAAACGGATTACATTTGAAAATCCTCAAAAGAGTTCTTCGAAAGAAATCAGTTATCACAATTACTGCAGGTAGGAAAACCAGGGTCCAAAAGTGTTAGACTTGAAAATGCTGATAAAAATAAAACATTCTTTGTCTTTGAAACTATGTTCCCTAATAATATAAAATATGTATTTAGATTTTCTCAGGACAAATGTATGTATGTCTAAGATTTTTCAATTTTTTTAAAATCCATGTAGGAACCTTGACAACAGTCTGATGCCTTGGTGCTATGTCAAAAGAAGAGGGAGGATTGTAAAGGAATTCTGCAACATTCCCAGATGTAAGACACAGGTTCTGAAAAAAAAGGAAATACATTAGCTTTTAGATAAAAAAAATCTGATTATTATTTCTCTCTGCCCTGACACAGGTCCAGTTCCAACACCACCAACTGAAATTGATACAGGTAACAAAAATGTCTTTTTCTCCACTGAAAATTGTCATTTCACTTTACTTGACTTCATCATCACCCGCTGACTCACCCCTGTCTTTGTCTTTGTCCACAGAGATGACATGTGGCCAGAGGTCTGAGCGGAGGATGAATAAAATTGTAGGTGGTTCTTTCGCAGCCATAGAGTCTCAACCGTGGATGGCCGCCATCTACCGGGATCGCAAGTTCCAGTGTGGGGGCTCCCTGATCGCACCGTGTTGGGTTCTCACAGCTGCACACTGCTTTCATGAACAGTAAGAAAAGCACACGGAAACAAGAACACAGAATTATTTCGGTGCTCAGTCTTTGTCTTTTTCATATTTTCAAATAATAAGATATATAGTGAATTTTTGTTTGCAATTATGGGAGTGTGGTGAAAATGTGTGTATTTTTTGTCTTTGTTCATTTCCATGCGCTCAAAAGGAATGAGGATCCTCAGCATCTGTTCGTACACCTGGGAAAGACTGCCACCAATGAAACAGATGCTAAGAGAGAGCAGACCTTCACTGTGGAGAAAGTGATCCTCCACCACAGATTTAACATATCCTCTTCCTTTGACAATGACATAGGTGAAGGCAGACTTCATATAAGGAATGGGAACATAAAAAAACAACTGTGTAGCTCCCCTAGACTAAAATCATCTTTTTTTTTTCATTCCAGCTTTGTTGAAAATCAGTGGTGAAGATGGAAAATGTGCCGTGAAGTCAGCTTCTGTGAGGACAGTGTGTCTTCCTCCAGCCAACACTCAGCTCCCTGTAGGATTTCAGTGCAGCATCGCAGGATATGGGAGAGAGAAATTTTGTAAATATTGGTTTTCCCTTTCACTTTTAAGACACCACTGTGATCTCTCAGTCTTTTCACTGAGATTTACCTCCGACTCTGTGTCATCTGCAGCGGCATGGGCTAACTCCAAGCACCTGAAAGAGGCCGAGGTGAGTCTGATCTCCCGGATTGACTGCACAAGAGAATCAGATTATAACCTCACCAACAACATGATCTGTGCTGGGAGCCAGGACTGGACTAGGGACGCCTGCAAGGTGAGCAAATAATCAAATAAACATGTTTTTACAAAGTGCAATGGAGATTGTAGATGACCCCTACCCTTTTTTACAAAAATACTTTGGTGATTACCAATCATTCATAACAGAAAAGACAGAGTCAGTGTATTTGACAGTGATTATCACTGGTTAGGTTATGAAAGACAATCTAACAAAACACAACAGGAAATACAAATAATTAAATAACTAATGACACAATACCATGGCTGTTTGTTGGTGCTGTACTTTATGCGTCATGTCCTCTCTACCCAGGGTGACTCTGGTGGGCCGCTGGTGTGTGATGTGTCAGGCAGGATGTTTCTGTTTGGTGTGGTGAGCTGGGGCGATGGCTGTGCCATGAAAAACAAACCCGGTGTTTACACTAAGGTCAGCAACTATAACAGGTGGATCACAGCAGAAACAGGACTGTTCAAGTACACACGTGGAAAGATGTATCCAGATAAGACATGAACGGACCAGGTTACATTTTGTAAGGAAAATTATTGCAGTTTTTTCTATTCTGTCTATGCAAACATTTCAAAAAAATCATTGCTATTGCTACTGTATGTATTGATGTGAACTCACTGGACTGATTGAATGTTTTCATATATATATTTCATATATAATTTATAGAATGCTGTGTATATAGAGAATCTTTTGTGTCACATGAAATGATATATTAATACTTGGAAGTGTTTTATGAAGTTTTTGTAACAAGGAAATATCATTTTTTCCAATAAGCTTTTGTAATATTTATTATTGTTTGGTGGGATTTGGCATTTTGTGCATATTTACAATATAATAATAAAGATATTTAGAGAATTCGATGTTTATTGTGTGTTATTCAAAGTCAAAATTAAAAAAGCTATTAGAAACACTAATAAATGTTGTATTATATTTCATTATATTATATTATATTATGTACAGGTAAACGTAAATGTAATCTTACTTCAGTTAAACACCAGAGGGCACTGTTAGTAGAAAGTATAAAGAATCTGCATGGAATTAAATAAGATCTCTGACTATAATGACATATTTGTATAGGATGGTTTAGAAAAATTAGACATCTACATCTTGCAAACACTAGATATGAAACTTAATATAGTATAATAATAATAATAGATTTTATGTATATTACACATTAGTGAAATACCAATAACAACTATTCAAATAATGCTCTGTTGGAAAAAAAAACACACATTAGCAGAAAAGAATGGTGCATATTTCTGAATTTGACAAAAATTTCCTGGCGAAAATACCACAGAAACTCTGGGGCAAAAAAGACCTGGGTTAATACAGAGAATTTCCCAGTTGTCTTCATATCTGAGTATGTGAGGAACCAGAGTACAGTAAGACTTACACAGACATTCAAGACTTCATGCCAATACTTTGGTTGCTAAGCTTTTTCAGTGTCGAACACTGTGATAGAGCAAAATCCTGTCAGCGACGGACAAAAGACGATTGAAAGATGTCACAAAGAAGCATTCGGTCGACAACTTCAGCAGACATGTCTGTCTGAGAATTAATTAAAATCAGTGCAAAGTACAAAGAAATTACTACTATAAAGAGTGCAGATCCTATGTATGCAAATTCCTGGTTCTGCTGCAAAGTATGGAAAGCTGAATGTCTGCCATGCAGTGTTTATGTGTTGGATGTGTAGAAGTTTAAGAAGAAAATGTCTCCCAAACACTGAGCGGCACAAAGAAACAACATTATTTACTGATGGCTCGGAGATGAAAGTGCATTTTTTGCAGCATTAGAACATCTAACTCCAGCTGGTCATTATTGCATCATTATTGAGAGCACACTTCAGAACCCCTCTGAGCGACCTGCTGTAGTGTTTTCCATCAAAGGCTGTTTGGACAAGTCTGCGTATACAGATAGTTCACAGCAGGACTAGTGGAGCCAATCTGAGTCAGTGCTCACCCCCCGCAATCATTCACAGACACCAGTTTATGTTGTTGCTTCTCTCGATCCATTTATGGGTTGGAGATGCTGAGCGGGTGAGTCCTGCTCCTCTTTAAGGACAATTCCTGAGGGCGAGGAGAAGGAGAGGAGAAACACTCTCCCATCCGACCAGGTGGACCAGACTGGCCTGTATTTGTGGTTTGGATCAAAGCCTGTTGTGGCGAACACATTCACGCACAAACAAACTCACAGGCACACACATTCGTACACACAGTTTGGAGGCTGGGGGTTTGGTGGGGGTATAAATACCACTGTTTCTTGTTGCTGGTGTCTCTGGTTTCCCCAACAGAGACTCAAGAAACAGGGACAACCCAAGCTCAACACACACACCCACAAACACACACACACTCTCAACGTGTCCCCGTAGTATTCATGATCTATCACAGCTAAGAAATGGTTCTATTTTAATGCGCACGCACAACTTCAGGGGTAACCTGAAGAGTGGGCTTTAGGAAACAGTGGCCCAGCTAGTCTTCGGTTTTCTCAATCCCAGATAAGAGACCTTGAAGAAACAATACATGGGACACAGCAGTGCGGGATCTTTTCAGACTCCGTCTGTTGACAGCAGCAGCAGCAGCCGAAGCAGAAGTCTGCAGCAAGCTGAATCCATGGTCTTTATTTAGACCTGGACGCTGAGGCCTGGAGACATGAACTTCTGACCCACCTTTAATCAACATACTAGATCATATGTCAGACGCAGGTTGGAGGCTTCATCAGAAAAGCACACAACACAAGATTTCTTCCAAATTTAAGGTGCAGAGCGAGGCTGTTCTCATCTACCGTGTCCTCTGAGGTTTCACAGCTGTGTGGATGACCTTTGCAAAGGCTACAGGGAACAAGTTCGCAACATAATTATTTTTACAACCTTACCCTGCTTAGAGGTTATGACTTACACTCTTCTGATGTACAACTGTGATGCCATATCTTCTTTTTCCCATTAAATGTATTAGTGTGATCTATAAGTTGCTGGTTCAATGCTGCATCATTTGGTCAAATTTGGTCACAGGTGTCATATTTAACTCCAATTCTTGCAAGTTTTTCCACATCCGTGTTTATTCAGTAGACACAGACATTGCCAGTGCCAAACATGTTGTTACCATCACAGACTGTATACAAAAACCAAATTGCAGTTTTTCAATGATCTCTGTCAATACTGCTTAGTAAAATGCTTAGGTTGTTTTGGAAGTAACCCACAACCTGTGAAGGACTGCCTGGCTCAATTGCCAACAACAGCACATTGTTTTCTTAATTGTGCAAATAGTGACCTGATCATATACAGTAAGTCAAACTCATTTCTTATAAATAATAAATCAAAGTTGTTTTATTCTTCTCCCAATTGCCCTCAATGACCATCATGTTGCATGCTTCATGTAATGATATTTTGAGCTTACATGGTCATCTATGTCTGATCCAGTGTCATTATTTTCTTGCTGTCAGTATTTAACGTCCTTGCCTTGTGTGGACATCCCAGTGGTTCTTGATCAGTTGCTGAAATCTGTTTTTCCTGTTTCAAACTGGTTCTTGTCGTAATGGAGTTTTTTTATCCAGTATTCACTAAATCAGACTTTAAAACCCGGGAACAATCCCTTTAACTTTTCCTAACCATTTCCTTTTAGGGCCACTCGCACACATGACGTAATTTAGGAAGACCTCTGGTTTGCTTTTTCTTTCTGTGCGTGTATGTGCATGTGATGCGTGTGTGCAGCGGGAGCGTCAGTGCGCACCCACACCAGCCGCCTGGCAGCTGTAGCGCTTCGCTGTGATTGGGTGGAGGGCGGTGATTCCTCCTGTCACGATTTGGGTCGCTCCATGGGAGGACACCGAGCTCCTGAGTCCAGCGTTGGCTGAGGTGTTCACCACAGGAGGCGGCTGCACACCGGCTGCAGAGCCGCATGAGGACTTCATCTCAGGGACTTGGACTGTAAACCCGGGGATTTGTCCTCCTGTCGGTGTCCGTGAGGAGGAGAGGAGAGAGACAGAGGAAGGAGACTGAGCCGCTGGAGCAACCAGCCGCTTTTTCTTTCACCAGGGCTGCGGTACAACTCGTTCACGATGCCGGTCTTTCACACCAAGACCATCGAGAGTATCCTGGAGCCGGTGGCCCAGCAGATCTCTCACCTGGTCATCATGCACGAAGAGGGGGAGGTGGACGGTAAAGCCATCCCGGATCTGACCGTTCCGGTGGCTGCGGTGCAGGCGGCGGTCAGCAACCTCGTACGGGTGAGTGCCGAGTTTGAATCCAGGGGTATTAAATCATGCAGTGAAAGTTCCAGTGAAAGCGACAATCCTGGAGGCTGCTGGTGCAAGACCTGCCCCTGACACTGAGGCTCCTATTTCAGCAGGGTCATAAATTAGTGGAGGTGAACCATCATCAAACTGTCCCTGTCTGCACACATGCAGCCCTTCATTTTTTCTAAGTGGTCCCCATATAAATTAATGGAGATCCCAGATTGATCTGCGCTGCTATTAAATTGGTATAAAAGTGTCATAAATGTGTAAATATAAATCCAGCTGACGCTCACACCAGCGCCTCCTGCTCTAGCCTATAGTTTTTATTGCGTATGTACTTAACACCGCAAAATACCTTGTCAGACAGTGGCCCCAGTCCTCCTTAGATAACTGCTGATGACCTCAGTGAAGTTTTTTTTAACCATGTCCTGTAATCTTCAGTAATTAGTGGGAGTTTCATCCACTTCTATATCGATGTTCTTAAGGGGACACTTTCCAGGCCCGGTTTATATGGAGTTCCTCAGGGGTCCATTTTTGGCCCAATACTATTGAGTTCAATGTCCAAGGCAGTTTAGGTTTGGGTGTTTTAGTGGTTTCAAAACCTGACTGAATTGTCACTTGCTTTGTTTCGGTAAATAGTTAGATGTAAGTGGGCCATGGAGATTGGTTTATCTACTGAGACATTTTAACTTGATTCAACTATTACTACTACTGTTTGCTGTGTGAGATCTGCAAATCAAGAGATCTGTCAAATTCTTTATAAATAAAGTTGAAATGAAGTGGATTTCCCTTGTCTTATCGGTAAAAGATTCCTATTCTAACTGCATTTTTCTGTCTATTATTTCATCTTTTGTCCAAATGATTATTTTGTAAATAGATTGACAGTCTTTCACTTTGACACTGATATCTCCCTCACATCCACTGACTGGCAAAATCAATATGGGCTGCATCATCAGTGGTGGGCAGGAGTGGGATGTAGGTGATGCTTTTGTGACAGGGCTCCATTCAGAAAGCAGAAATTCAGCAGTTGGTGGGTGACAAACTTCTACCTACATGATAATTATTGCTGTTGTGAAACAGATGTCAGGACATTTAAGGACTGTGTTTCACACAATGAAGAAACTTGGCCTTGGTTTATAAAACATTTCAGGTCCATTTTATAATCACATGTAAGAGCTCAGGTGAAATTACTGCTACTCAGTTTGACTTAGTTATGTTAGAAAAGGGAGATTATAGAGAGTACAGAAGTAATGGGCATGGTCTGTGGGGTTTATAGTATTAGTTATAGTTAAGTCCAAATTTGAAGATTTTTTTAAATTTTAAAAAAGCAGCGATGGCTGTTATTTTTATCATTATCCATTACATCTGAAATGTTCCTGGAAGTGTGTGTCTTTTTTGTTAGAAGAGATGCATTAGGGGTTGAGGTCACATTGATCCCTGCAAACTCTCTTTGAAGGAAGAGTTACTGCTGAGACCTGAAAAGACTTCTAGTCTACTTCCATGGAGTCATTATTTAAAATGGAAGAGCCTCGTCTGTATAATATATGCAGTCTACAGGTGAGAATAGCGCAGGATGGTACTGTATGTTTCAGGGTTTCTGAGGACATGTCAAGAACATTGATGATGGAGATGATGAAGATGTGATGTGTTAGAAAGAAAGGCTGAAGACACAGTGACAGCAGGTCTTTGTCTGGCAGCTATAGAGGGAAACAGCTCTCTTTGTATCTCAAACATGTTGGTGAAGTGTTAGGTGATTAGTGGCTGTGTTGTCAGGTGTGAGGGTTAAGAAGTGGGTAAAAAGGAGGTATTGACAGAGAGCTTAAAGGGCGCTCAGTAGCAGCAATTTAATGTGTAGTGGCTGGTTGCTGGGTAGACAACCTGAGCTGGAGACTGAAAGACACTTAAGACTGGAGTACACTCACTTAAGACTGGAGCAGACGGATGTTTTATTTTAGAAGGCTGATTCAGTTCGGTTCCACTTTCAGTTTGGACTTTAGAGACATCAGGGCAGTGTTATACTGCAACATGCCACCATCACCAATGCACGCTGATACAATTACACTGTTAACCCCCTCCCGGGTGGGCTAACCATGGGGGGAGGGAGGGGGGGCATTTAAATCTAGGACACCAAGACACTTAGAAGCACGCAAGATGTTGTCACTCTCTGACCTCCAGAAGCCTGTGAATGGCTTCACTTTGGCTGGTTTATCAGGAGATCTACGTGAGAGATGGTAGCTGGTGTCTTCGGTGCAAAGTGTGAGCCCACCGGAGTGGAACTGGTGGGAGAGACTAAGCAATGAAGCATGAGCTCCTGAAGGAGTCAACATATAGAGTCTGAGCATGTCCAGGGGTGGGGAGGGGAGGAAGGAATAAATAGATTTAGCGTTGAGTGAACTATAGCTACACTCTGACAAAACAGAACAGGACAGGAAGAGAAGAGGAGAAGGAGTGTAGAGATGCCAGCAGTGAGACTCCACTAAAACTGTCGTGATGCAGAACAGGGGAAAGAAGAGCGGAGGCTGTGGACAGGCGGGCAGTGAAAAAGCCACTTACAGGCACAGACGCCGGCACCCTGCGAAGGAGGGGAAGTGTCCCTGGTGTCTTCTGACCAGACTTTGCCAAGCTTCATAGTTCACGTTCCAAGGCCCCGGCTCTACATACACACAAACAGAAACGTCTGAACTGTCCTCAACTGTCCTGTCTTTTCACGGAGGAGTCCCCGCGTCTTTCCCGCTGCTCTCAGCTGCTCAAATGTTTAGTTTATAGTTGCTTCACAGCCACAGACTGTGCTGAGAAATGGACACTGGCTGCAAACGTGAAGGTGTCAGAGTAGAAATATAATAGCAGTGCTGGTTTTGAACAAGTTATTGGTCTGAGTGGCTACTGTTGGGTCGATATGTTTCAACATGATGTCAGTTTTGACCAAAATGATGCTCATTATTTGACAGTGCAAAATCTAAAGTGAAATATATAATATATTACTGAATTCATTAGTAATGATGAATTCATTAGTAATTAATTATTTCATAATATTTCAAGATTGGTAAAAAACCCTTACAATTATTTCATAATATTTCAAGATTGGTAGTAGAATTTTAAAAAACTTCAGTTTTATAGTATTGCTATAATTCGTATAAAGACAACAAACCATCTGCATGTTTTGGTAAAGATCAAAAGCCGCAGCCTCATCAGAGCTGATGCTCTTGGATGTGAATTGAAGACAGACTGATTGCGTTCTGTTAGACGTGACTGACAGCTGTTTGTTTCCTGCAGTGGTCACACATTTCAGTCCCACCGTCAGTGTTTCCAGCGAACCACTTAACTCCTCATTAATAATGCACTGAACTAGCAGTGCCAAAAGTTGCCGCTTCCAGGAAACTTGAAGCCTAACGTGACATGCTGGGGTTTCACCAACCTGTTCTGCACAGATTGATCCACATTCTATGCATTTTTTAAGATGTGAATCACAGAGTTTATCAACACACTGAAGCTCTTGGATTTTTGTTTTTGTTTGTTTCCTGAACATTCATTACATAGTGTTACAGTGAAAATGAAAGCACACACAGATCAGATGAATGACACTGAAGAATTCATCCATTAACAGTAATAGTGCAGTATTTAGTAGCATTTTTATGAACCTTTTGCTCAAGTTCATACTGTACTTACACTTGAACTTGATCCCTTTTACGTTTAGTTATAGCTCCTTATGGTAAATACATCAAAATAAAAATAAAATGATAAAGTTGTAAATGTAAATGTCTGTCATTTTCAATATGGTTTGTAAATAGTGTGAGGAAATGAGCAGAGTGGTCGAGTCTTAAAGTGGAACTGTTTTGTTGTCTTTGCATTCTGGGATGGAGGCTTAATTCCAGCTCCCTGAAGACAGGAAGTCTATTAACGCACTTTAATTGACACAGCAGCGGAACAAGACTGATGTCATCATTTCAGCATGATTGCATTTTGTGTGTCTCTGTGTGTGCCTCTGTATTCACTGTTTTCTTCTGTAATTGTAGTGTTCAGCTGCGACTTTTTTTCTCTCGTTTTTCTCATCCTTTCATTAGAACTATATCACGTGACAATATAATGATAAGAGGCACTAAATCCATGGACATTTATTTTTGGTCGTCATATCATTAAACATGTATGACAACCTTGGCTCGAACAACAAGCTGAGTCAAAGCTGCTGCTTTGTGACTTACCCTAACCCTATTAAACCTAAGACACTCAGATTAGGACTAATTGGATTTCTTTATTCAAACCTCAAGACAATGTCAGGAAAATATTGTTTTAGACATTTAAAAAATAGCCTGTGAAACAAGGATATAGGTTCATGTTTTTCTTGCCTTTTCTGTTTGAACTAAGGCTATAAACTAAAACTAGCTAATTAAATTAGTTGTAAGATGGTATTACTTTGCAAATACCTGTAGTACACAAAAAATAACATTATGTTAATATTTTGCTGTGGGCCCTGATTTATTTGATTTTTTTTTGTTTCATAGCTTACATGATTTTTTTGTCTATAAAAAATATTTACATTTGATGTTGCAGGGATTCAGTGATTGTTGACACACATAGACAAAATCAAACTTCTCAAGGGGTTACAAGACTTTACGCTGCGTACACAGCGTTCTGATGTCATCACCACAGACGGGCCTTCTGTTCAGAGTATAAATGTCTTTCCCATGACCTGTCCTCACACACAACAGGACTGAGACGAGCCATAGCACAGCCACAGCCTCTTCCCCTCAAAGCTTGAAAAATGTGACATGCTTGCATGGTTGAAATAGGTGTGAATTGATACACACTCGCTCACTCACCCCCCTCACCCCAGGCTATTATTAGCCCTGAAATGCCTTGAATACTATTTTCCTGTCCCGCTGCTGCTAATGATAATTGAACAAATGGTCCCTGTTGTGTTGGTTGCAGGTGGGGAAGGAAACAGTCCAAACCACAGAGGATCAGGTGATGAAGAGAGACATGCCCCCCGCATTTATAAAGTAAGTCTGTATAAAGCACTGTGTGAAAAAAAACTCACCTCCTCCTTCTTCTCCTCCTCCTCTTCCTCCATCTCCTCCTCAACAGCCTCTCCTCAGCTCCAGTCACTCTGAAAAAGTCCCAGTGACAAAGTGATGGAAATGACACTGTTAATCTGTGCAGACAGAGAACTTGTTAAAAAGAAGTTACTGTGCAATTTGGTGTTTCGGAAACGTGGCAGTGTTCCCAGCTCCAACAAAGAGACACTTCTGTGGATGAGTGCGGCCGACTCCAGCATCCAACCATGCTGTTTGTTGTTGACATGAATCTGTCTGAGCGCTGGCTGCAGAAATGTGCAGTCCAGACAATCAGGGTGTGTTCGCACGTGGGTCGTTTGGTTCAGTGAAAAGTAAAATTTGTGCAGTTTCTGCATCTTGGGGGTCAGCAAACTGAGGTGGATGTGGTCTGCTTCAATTAGATAGATGGACCAAAAACCATTTTAACAAAACAAGGGCACGATCCTCTTCACGAGATGGAAAATATTAAACCAACAGTGGGAAAAAGTGAGTGGATGTTGACAAAAGTAAGTGAGCAGTAAAAGAAATGTAGACCAATCAAAATTAAGAAGCGTGGATCAGATATAAAGGAAGGTTGGAGCCATCATGTTTGTGGTCAATGGCTTCGAGGGTAATCAATCCTGTTGTCAAGGACACTCATCAACCAAGAGAAGTTTGTGGTGAACTTCCCTCACTCAATATACAAAAAACGTACTTCCAATAATCAGCTCAATTAATTGATAAATCAGCTGATTTTGCAGTTAGTTCTAGAAAGTTATATAAGCCACTGTGACCACTGCCCCTTGGGTAAATCACATGTAATCTACATGTGTGAAAACACCATCTCCTTGTCAGTTTGTGTGTTGCAGTATTTTAGTATTTTCCAGTATTTGCTTGCCTGCTATTGCCTTCTGTTCTGATTCCTGTTTTTATGGTCTAAGTAAATGCTTCCAGTCCAGTCGTACACACCACTCTCACTCACTGCTTACTGCTCACTCACATTCACGCAGGACGCTACATCATAAATCTCACTCACGGGGCTTAGGAGGGTGCATGTGGGAATGTGAACCTACCTAAATATAGACAAGGCAGCAGCCATCGATACCCTGGCCAATGAGGGTCAAACACAGGAGGGACTTGGCTTTATTCTAACGCCCTCAAATCCATCACCTCCTTCAGGATAAGCTAATTATTGACCGATTATTTGATTGAGGATATTTTTTTTCTTTAGTTTTTTAGTCTCTATGGTGAATTTCCGGCTTTATTTGATTCCTGACTGCTGTGATGTTTACAGAGTGGAGAACTCCAGCTCCAAGCTCGTTCAGGCGGCGCAGATGTTAAAGGCAGATCCATACTCTGTTCCTGCAAGAGATTACCTGATCGATGGATCCAGAGGGATACTGTCCGGAACGTCTGACTTGTTACTTACATTTGATGAAGCAGAGGTGTGTCCATGTGTGTGTTTGAGTGTGTGTTTGCCTCTTAAGCTTTTATGTGCGTCCTGTGTGTGTGTCTTTTACTTGAGGGCAGTGGCATCTTTCAGAGAAATAAAGCTTTATATAGCTTCACAGAGGAACTTGTCTTCATGTGAGCCTGTGAGGGAGAATCTAATCACTGAGATCAAATGACTTCCCTCTGTTCTAACTCAGGAGTAGGGTGACGTGTGTCTATGTGTGTGTGTGTGTGTGTGTGTGTGTGTGCAAGCAATCATACAGATGTGAAGAAAATAATTAACCGCCTTCTGGTTCACTGAAAGTGTTGCGTACATCCAGCCTCCTTAATTTGTTTTAATTTGAATAAAGTAAAGTTTTTAAAGAGGTAAAAAAATGTCAACTTCCTGAAAAGTTTTCAAAAATGTTGCAGTAAGAAAATTCTTGCTTGGTTTACAAGCACTCCAAACCACTCAAAACAGAATGAAATCTGCCTGAAGCGTCTAAAGATGTTACAGACTGTACGTGTACAAGTGTCTGTAAGTGGAATCACATTGTTTATGTCTTCATAGTCACCCTCAGCTCATCACTGGCCTTATTCTCGTAGGGAGAATCTTCTCACAGTCACAAGATGTACATCACAAGACTGTACACACACACACACACACAATGACAGCACTCAAATAGCTGTTTAGCATTTAACATTTAAAAGGAATCATGCATACAACCAGTTTTGCTGTTTGACCCTAAACTTTTGTCTCTAATCATCACGATCCACTCTTTTACTGTTATGTTAAATGGCTGTAACTCTGTCTGTGTTGTGTCCCAGGTGCGAAAAATAATCAGGGTTTGTAAAGGCATCCTAGAGTATCTGACTGTAGCTGAGGTGGTGGAGACCATGGAGGACCTCATCACTTACACCAAGAACCTGGGTCCAGGTCAGAGAGAGCTTTATTTCATCAAACAAACACAGTGTATTTCACTGCAATCAGACCGGCCGTGAGTTGGTCCTGGGTTCTTTAACATTATCAAATAGAAACTACACAACCAATATTATTAACTTGTTTTTAAGAGCTGGTATTTCACAAAAAAATAGATAGATGATACACCTTTATAATCCAATCAGGAAATTAAAATGTAGATATTAAGGTTACATTGCCTTTGGAAATATAAAGTATGATAAATATCATATATTCTGAAAACACTACTCAACAATGAGGCTGGTAATGACCTCCGTTTTTAAGGTTTAAAGGTGTTTACATCTTAAATTAACCACTTAACTCGCCCTCTGACTCAGAGATGGCGTGATTGAAGTTGACGGCTTTTTCATTGTCAGGAGAACAGCACCATGGATTGGCTTTTTATCATCTGAGGTCAAAGGTCAATTGTGTTGTGATTGTAGAGCGGCTTAATGAGCTGGAGGGAATCTGATGCAAAGGGTTTTTTTACTCACACTTGAGTGACGCCGTCATTGTACAGGATCAGTCGCTCGTGAAGAGTTGACGTTTGGGACACGTTGGTGAAAACATTGACGCCAACCGTCGGCCTTGGATTATTCAACACAGGAAAAATATGGAAATGATGTTACCAACAAGCATTGATAGAGGGATTTGATGTAAATTCTAACTTCCTCTGAATATTGAATTATATATATATATGTATATATTTTTTATTATTTTATTTAGGAATGACCAAAATGTCAAAGATGATTGAGGAGCGGCAGCAGGAGCTGACGCACCAGGAGCACAGACAGATGCTGGTCAGCTCCATGAACACCGTCAAAGAGCTGCTGCCTGTTCTCATATCAGGTGTGTGAGTGTGTGTCTGCCAGCATGTACACACATTACATTGCAGGTCACTGAACAGCCAACAGTCGTTATAGCAACGCTCACAATTACAGTCATTAGTTACTGGGGCTGTCAGACTGACTATACACACCTACACACACACACACACACAACCAGCCCGCTAAGCATATCTCCGACTGCACCAGTGTAAGGAGCCACTGTTACTGCTCTACTTTGAAATACACACAGTTTACTGTAGTTTTCAGCCATTATTTTAGATGTCCTTGAAATATCTAAGTATCTGCTGACTGCAGAAAAATATTTACTCTGTGTGTTGTAGCACACACAACATTTATGCCATAGAGTTTTTGTCTATTACTAATTAGATTAATTATCTTTACATACAGTTATCAACAAGCATTCTTAAGTCAATTATTGAAATGACAGGTCACAGAATGATCTCCAAAGGGTGTAATGATAAATACCTGTGTTTTTTTCTTTGTCCAGCTATAAAGATTTTCGTTGCCACCAAGAGCAGCCGCGGTGCAGGTGTGGAGGAGGCCGAGAGGAACCGAAGATTCACCTTTGAAAAGATGAGCGCTGAGATCAGCGAGATTATCAGAGTGTTACAGCTGACCACCTGGGATGAAGATGCCTGGGCCAATAAGGTATAACCTTGGAGATGAAGACAAAAAAAAACAGTAACACTCATGGGTAGTTCTTTAATTTATACATTAAGGCATCATCTCTCTGAAGTACATTTCACACATTTTAGGTTATAGTCAGACACATGAGCTTTGGACTGCCTGTTTTTACACACATGCTAACACACAAACCTCTTTAATCTTTTTACTTATTCTCCGCTTTTCCTTTTCGCTCGGTAGTATAACTCCTGGTTTTTTCTTTTTTCTTTCTTTTCTTTACCTTCTCCCTCCATTCTTTTCCTCCCCGTAGAAGGTAAGCCTGTTTCTCTGCCCCTCTGCAGTTTCCAGCATGCAAGTGTGTATTTATACATATATGTGTGTGAGACAGAGAAGGAGAAATACCTATACTGTATATGAGTATGTACTGTATATACAGTATATCCACCTGCCAACAGTCAATGGTAAGTATGTCATGTCCTCTCACTGTTTCTGTCTACACGTATCTCATTGTCTCTCCGTGTCCACTTGGTTCAAATGGCATGAGACTGGTGACGTCCATCACCAAAAATGTCTTAATATTTTTTTATATATATGTTATGTATTCAGCAATGCTATTGTTTTATGCTGCTACGAGAGGCTGTTGAGAGCAGAGTATAATCTCGCTGAAATAATCCAAACACATGACCTGCAGACTGTGGGACACTTTACTGGTCCAAATCGTAACCCTGCATGTATCTCTATGCGTGCGTAGGTGTGTGTGTGTATGTGTGCTGTGGATTTGATGCAAACTTTCAGGTAACAAGCATTTGCAGTGTGTGTGGGTAGAAGGAAAAAAAAGGCTGCACCATGACACGTCTGCTCTCTGCTTAGTCTATGCATTGTACAGTTTACTCCTATAAATCCCACGTTTCCCATAAATCCAAACTATACTGTATGACTTAATTTATAATGTAACAAAAATAATAACAGTTAAGACAATAATGCTTTAAAAATTAGCTTTAACTTATTTGTTAATAGCAAAATAACAAAATAACATATAGTCTTGTAAATTTGGGTTAACAGGCATAAATGCTATACATGGTGTGTTTCCATATTAAGTAACTAATAAGTAATGTAAGTACAACCACTTAAGATTAGAAATTATAGGTAGTTTAAAAAGTTTTTTTTTTCTATTCACAAGCATTTGGGTATTAATTACTAATGGAGAGCTAATGATGCTAATGATTGCCCTTTATTTCGAATTTAGGTTAAGTAAGTAAAAAATAATAAAATAATTTCTGGAGGTTTAAATGTGTAAAATAATTTAAAATAATTTCTGGAGGTTTAAATGTGACATGTTGCCTGTTGATTTAATACCAACACACACAATGTTGTGTTTTCCTTCTGTCTCAGGATATGGAGGCATTAAAAAGATCTCTGGCTTTGATTGAGTCCAAGATGGCACTGGCTAAAGGTTGGCTCAAAGACCCCCATGGACAGCCGGGTATACGACTGGGTCTTTGTGGGTCTCTCTTTTTTAAAATGATTATTTCTCAGAATAATCTAATAATGTGTTGTCCTCCACCAGGTGATCATGGTGAGGTTGCTCTGCGTGTTATTCTGGATGAAGCTGGGAAAGTTGGAGAGCTGTGTGCCGGGAAGGAGAGGAAGGACATACTGGCCACGGCTAAGGCTCTGGGACAAATGACAGACCAGATTGCCGATTTGCGAGCCAGGTGATGAGGTTTCAAGTGAAATTCTGTTCTTTACACCTATGATAATGATTGTTCTCATATGTCATGACAATATTGTGTTTATATTATTTTGTAATGACAGAGGCCAGGGGCCGACCCCAGGCTGTGTGCAGCGTGCAGCCCAGTGCTCACAGGGCTTAGACTTGTTATTTGGCAAAGTGGACGGTGCTGCACGCCGGCTGGAGGCTCTAATCAGTGCCAAGCAGGCCATTGCCAGGAGGCTGGACGCTGCACAGGTCAGATAAAACAATAGCAGAGTAATCCACATTAATAGCACATTAATCCTCTCACCAGTGAATCCTGCAGCCAGCCTTCTGTTTTTTAGCACAACTTCAAATAAATGAAAAGAGTTTTGCGTTTAACTCATACTGTAATAAATATATATAATACCTGCAACAGCTGAAAGGATAAAAAAAAAAGACTCTCCTTGACAAGTTACTTGTTCCTGACCCTGTGTGGTTTCTGGCTCCTGGAGCCCTTGAAGAAGGTGGTGGTATTCTATTAGGAAGCTATTCATGTTTAATTGCATTTGAAGTAATATTTTGAGAAGAACCAAAAGGCACTGTATAATGTTTTAGTTAATTGTCTAACTGACATCATTTGGTAAAGTCACATGTGCTTGTTTGATGACGACGATTAGATTCCACCCTTAACCTCCCTGTTGTTGTGGAAATTACATGAGATTTGTATAAAGTCATCTGTGGCCATTCTTTAGGCCTGGCTGGCTGATCCTAATGGTGGACCTGAAGGGGAGGAGAACATCAGAGCACTGCTCGCTGAAGCCAAGCGTATCGCTGATCTGTGTGAAGACCCAAAAGACAGGGATGACATCCTGCGCTCCATCAGCGAGATCGCAGGGCTCACCGCTCGGCTCGTGGAGCTACGCAAACAGTATGCTCTCCCCGTCCAGACTCTTGATTGGATGTTTTAATTATCACATGAAGTAACTCCTAGATCTTCTTTTTCTAGACTCAGACTACAATCTCCTACTACTAGTAGCTGGAATATATTTCCCATCTGGAAATTATGTTGTTGCCTGTCAACCTTAGGCATCAATGTCAACATAAGGTCTTACTATGCTTGAATTCAATGGGGCTGTGGTGTGTGTGATGGTTCAGGTGGAGATTTTAAACTTGGTGAAAAATAAATACCACTTTGCTCAAGGGCAATGCCACTAAATTCCACAAATTTATTGAAATCTCTGCTCTTAGCGTTGGCTAAGCTAAATGGTTTCTAAAGGGTTGTAGAAGTGTTTTATGATCTGCACCACCTCTGTGTGTACTGACCTTAAAAGGAAAGTGTGGAAACCAGATTCATGCCAAAACTACAAATCTGAACCTTAAAAGGGAAGAAAATGTGACTCCACAAGTTTGTTGGGAGTTTTATTTCATCCACTAAAGTGATGATTCTTATATGTATTTGTAGCTGATAAAAAAAATGTACATGTTGACAGAATCAGATGGAAATGTGGCATTAATCTTGAATGGTATTTGAAGTACAATGTTAAAAAGGGGAATGGTGAAAGGATTGAATTCAATATTTACCAGTTTCAAACCTGGATGTTATCTTCATCTGCCACAGGGGCAAAGGTGACAGTCCAGAGGCCCGAGCGCTGGCAAAGCAGATTGGGGCAGCACTGCTGACCCTGCAGTCCAAAACCAACCGAGCCGTGGCCAACATGAGACCAGCCAAACCTGCTGTGACCTTGGAGGGCAAGATGGAGCAGGCCCTGCGCTGGGTGAACAACCCTGGAGTGGACGACAGAGGAGTAGGTGAGTGATGTTATCCCACGCACACTGTCACTCTATCAGGAATCATATGTCGGTGTGGTACAGAAATAACTGAGCTGGTGACTAGTGACCGTTTCCTTCACAGTAATGTGTCTGCTGAGTGAATCATCCACTGATTAACCTGACTGATGCTAACCTGACTGACGCTTGTTCTATTTGCTCTTTTCTCAACCCACTTCCTAATGCTTTGTTTTACGCTTGTTCTATTTGCTCTTTTCTCAACTACATTTGTTTTCTACTCACTTTTAATGCATCCTAATGGGAGCAGAGTATGAATGGATTGAATGGAACACAGGTACAGGTCTGATACATACTTTTTTAAACCATTGAAAGAAATATATTTTAATTTAATGTACTGTAACAATGTGTGCTGTATGATATTTAGCACTGACTGGTAATTTTCTAACCTTGGATTTAAAGTTTACCACAAGGGCCAGACTGTGACCTCTGCTGTGTCTCTCTCCAGGTCAGGCAGCAATCAGAGGCATGGTTGGAGAAGGGAAGCGCTTGGCAGGGGGCCTGCTGGGCCCGTATCGACAGGACATGATTGGACGCTGTGATCGAACAGAGGCTCTGATGGCATCGTTGGCAGACATGGCCAGCAGAGGGGAGGCCGAGGCTCCTCACGCTCGTGCTACGGCTGCACAGCTTCAGGACAGCCTGAAGGTAGAGTAGATCAGCGATGTCACACACCAACATAAATAAATGAATGAATCACAGCTTGTGTTTAAAGTCCACAGTCATAAGACAAACGTTGTGCAAACCAAATATGCTAAATATTTATAATCAAATGTTAACAGCAAATATAGCAGGTTTTTTTTATCCATATGGCTCGACAGAGGATCTTCATCTGACTAAATTATTTTGTATATCAGGAATTTAAGATTTTTTTTAAACTATCAACTATAGAAACATTTGAAACTAGTCTGTAAATGCTCCTTTAAGGGACTAACGTTGACCTTGTAAAAACAAATGAACCCTTTTGAGTGATATTATTGGCGCAGGGCTCCCTCTACTGGAATAAAAACAAATCTTCTTCCACCAGGACTTAAGACAGCACATGCAGGAGGTGATGACCCAGGAGGTATCTGATGTGTTCAGTGACACGACTACACCTATCAAACTGTTGGCTGTTGCTGCAACTGCTCCCCCTGATGCTCCCAACAGGAATGAGGTCAGAGACAGACCATACAGTATTAACTGATATGGACCGCTCTTTAATAATGCTTAAAAAAATATGTTAGTGGGTAATTAAAAAAAAGTTTTTAATCAAGTGTCTGCATTATCAATGGTTATTATAGGTGTTTGAAGAGCGTGCAGGGAACTTTGAAGCCCATGCAGGTCGGCTGGGGGCCACTGCAGAGAAGGCTGCAGCTGTGGGGGCGGCCAATAAGACGACCGTAGAGGGCATACATGCTGCTGTGAAACATGCCAGGGAGCTGACACCACAGGTGCTTCTCTACTGTTAACGTCCAGGCTTGTAATGACTGGTCACAGTGCACACAGAGTCTGTCTGTCCACTGTAGACTGGACATAGGACTTGGACAAAGTCATTGTTAGGTTTTGTTAATTCAAATTAGCTCAATTAGTCAGGAATACATCAAAGTTTCCAAATATCAGGTACGTGTTTAGTAGAACAGAACTAAAACTTGACTAAGATTTAGGCAACTCTTAATCAAGTCTATTTCTTGTATAGTGACAATTTTTAACTGACATTTCTGTAAATGTCCAGGTGACCTCTGCTGCTCGGATCTTGTTGAAAAATCCTGGAAACAAAGCAGCATATGAGCACTTCGACACCATGAAGAATCAGTGGATTGACAATGTGGAAAAACTCACTGGTGGGTAAATCACTCAACAAAACACAGTTTTAACAATTTCACATCAGGTTGAGACTGGAGGATGTGTTTCTGTATCTCACTGTGTCCCCAGGTTTGGTGGACGAAGCCATCGACACCAAATCTCTGCTTGACGCTTCTGAGGAGGCGATAAAGAAAGATATTGACAAGTGCAGAGTTGCCATGGCAAACGTTCAACCACAAATGCTCGTTGCCGGGGCAACGAGCATAGCCAGACGAGCAAATCGTGTCCTGTTAGTGGCTAAGAGGGAAGTGGAAAACTCTGAAGATCCGCGCTTTAGAGACACGGTCAAACACGCGTCAGATGTCCTCTCTCACACCATCTCACCCATGGTGATGGATGCCAAGGCAGTGGCCGGTAACATTC